GTTTGGAACGTTTGAGCCTGGGAGGAAAATATCTCTTGCTTTCTTAGACTACTGGATAATCAGCAATGAAGTAATAACTTGGCTGCTCATAATTCAGTGGAAAAAATTGTTTCTACTTTCTTCCCAACGACAGGCAGACTCTGCTCTTTCTTGAATAAATGGCACCCCAGGAGGATTCTGGATGCCTGGGAAGGCTCTCCAACCCCTTTATGTTACATTAATTCTGACATTTTTCCTAGTGTAAGGAGAGAATGAAACAATTAGCTTTATCTCCAGGCAGCTCTTTTATGCATAGATGGTATTCCTTTGTCTCCCACTGAGTTAGCCTTCTGGCATTTCAGCTTTGCTGTGAGTCCCCCCCCCCCCCTCTGACTGCAGTGATTCATTTACTGCACAGGCAAAGAAAATAAAATAAGCCAATTTCAAGTCTCTTTGCATTCTAAACTGAAGCCAGTGGTTGGCCTGCTAACTTATTTGGTCATTTTTTATTATAAGACAGATAAAGCCAGCAGGAACAAGTAGAAAAGCAAAAACTGAGAATACAACAAAGTTGTGAGAGAAGCTAGGCCCTCATATGAAAATCAGGTGGGGCTGCAACAGGAAGTGCAGTAGCAGACACAGGTTCAGATCCTGACGTCTTAGGATAGGTTTTGCAGGCTAAGCCCCCTATCTAAAGCCTTAGGTAGCTGTTGCCAGTAAGTGCAAGGAAGGGGGAGTTAGTCCACGAACCACCTGAAAATTGTCAGTGGACCACTTAAAAACATTGGGGGGAGAGGGTGTCTGCAAATCCAAGGACACAGTTCCGACTTTAATAATTGAAATACTTTTAATATTTAATAAATATTAAGATTTAATAACTTTCTAATGCAGTGAACAAGCTTGCTTTGTTGAGCAAAGTTCTAGGAAGTCAAGTGTAGTGTTTGTCTATTTTAGACTTATATCAGGCTCAACATTACACCTGCTTCTGTACTGTATTTCTCTGAAAATAAGCCCGGGTCTTATATTAATTTTTGCTCCAAAAGACACATTAGGGCTTATTTTCAGGTGATGTCTTATTTTTGCCATGTATAAAAATCTACATTTATTCAAATACAGTCATGTCTTCTTCTGGAACATCGTCATAACTCTTCAAACCCCGAATTGTGTTGCAATGGAACTGGGGCTTATTTTAGGGGTAGGGCTTATAGTACGAGCATCCTGAAAAATCATGCTAGAGCTTAGATCTTATTTTCAGGGAAACGGTATTTGGACCTGTGTTTAGCAAGTGCTGAGAATTCCATCTCACGAAAGTATATGCTGTTGTCAGAATGGCCTTTTTTCCCATCATGGTGGGGAAGGGGGAAGGAATGAAATAACTCAAGCAAAGAGCAGAATGCAGATATTCTTGACTGTTCTGCGACCTTTCTCTGAGCCACCTTTGGTGGAGGCTTTGAAATTATTTTCTATATCCCCTCCCCCACAAAAAATATCCAAGGGTGCATTACTGTGGAGCATGCCTTTAACCCTCTGAATTCAGAAGATTATGTGCGTTCTATGCAGGGCAGGAAGACTACAGAAGCAAAGGTCACTTCTGCCCTGCAAAGCAGTTGGATTGCCAGTTTTCCTGTTTACCTGCCATGCTTTGGAGCAGGAGAGGAGGAGGCTGAGATGCTGCCAAGATGTCTCTTATATTGGCAGTGCTGGCCTCCTCTCCTCCCTGTCCCTGCAATGCCCACTAAACTCCTTCTCCAAGGTTTTTCCCAAGCCACTTCTTCTGACCTTGGGTGATTTTCTGACATTGGAAATGGAATCCCAAAATTCCTGTGGCCCTTTACGATCATGCTATAAGTGGCATTTTTTCATTCTGCCATATCCAGACAGTGAAAGGGATTTCTCTGTAGCATTTCTCTCAGGAAAATGAGACCAGGCATTGTGGACTTACAAATGTTATCGGACTGCAGCTCATATCATCTCTCCCCATTGGCAATGCTAAATAGGGCTGCTAAGAGTCACAGTCCAGCAACATCTGGAAGACCACATGTTCCCCTGAATTAGACATTCACTCCACATCCTGTGCTGCTTTTTTCACCCTCCACTGAAGACATTCCATTTGTACATTCCCCAGATAGGAGGGTGTATTATTAGCATATGCCAGCCATGTGTCTGGGGAAGTTTTGCATTCAGAACTCATGCCTTTCCTTTGTTAAGTGAGGGAAAATTAAGCTTTTGAGGCCTTTTTTACATCACAAAGCAGCAAATTTAGCTTTGTGTAAAGAGCCAAGCTACACATTACACGTCATATGCAACCTGTAGCTGTGTCTTTGCTTTGGTTAAATTAATTATTACAGCATGGCATGGACATTCCTCTTGTGAAAGTAACTGATGGTGAAGTGAAGCATAGCTCTTTACTTCCCAGCAATGTTTGAAATGGAAACACCCTTCTCAACACAGGCAAAAGCTTCAGGGGGATTTTTTTTCTTTAAACTGCCTAAATATGTGAGGAGTGACATGGCTTAGAATGGAATGAGTAAGCCTCCCTTCTTTGTGCACTGCCAGTAGAATAGGGGTCATTCTTAGCCCACGCATATGCATACACACCTTCTCCTGAAATTAGTTGAGAAAAAAATCAAAGAAGTTGCAATGTGTTGTGCATAAAACATGAGATACAGTTAAGCCCTGGGTGTGCATTTAAGAGGAATCATAAAAAAAACAGTGACTCCCTCAACAGGGAATCTTATGCACCTACTTGTTGCATTCACAGTTTAGGTGTTTTAGGTACATAGTTAAAATGTAATATGTGATGTGAATTCATATAATTAGAGATAAAACGAAAAGCATCAGGATAGTGTGATTGAAAGTGTTAGCTAGAAGGCAACTAATAGTATTCATGGTGTTTAATATTATTTTCGAGTCACGCATTTTCCAAGTCTGTTCAACATTTAAGGGGTTTTATCCAGTTTGTTACTGTTCATGACAATGCAGTTCTAGGACTTGCACTGCATCTGGCAGAACCAATGTGCTGCATTTGGCTGGGTTTTGTTCATTTAATAACAAGAGTGGGGATGGGAGATTCCTATTGCAAAAGGAGCTTTTACTTGGTAAAGCACTTAAAAGAGGGACTTGCATATCTTGAACAACCTGGCGTCTATCATGTCCATGAAGACCATTAATAAAGTTCAGATACAGTGTGCCTATTAGTGGTGATCTCTGGGCTCACATTTCATTTCAAACATGTTTACCAGTGCTGAACAAATGCAGCAAACTTGCAAAAATAGGCCCTTGGATTATTTTCCTGGTACCATTTCTCTGCCAAAGGCCTATTGTGGTGAACAGCGATGACAGTATATTACATATGGAAAGGATCCAGGATTTCATTGATAAATATAGACCAACATGGTATGTTTCTCTTTACACTGCTCCTTTCTGGCCAACATGGTATGTTTCTCTTTATACTGTTTCTTCCTGGGTCACGGCATTTCTAAAGCTACATCTAGATTAGGTGACCTAAATTAGGCTATAGTTCCTGGGGAAGGCAAATATCTTTGGAGCAGTAATATATGAAGAGTAAAAAAGGTAAAGGTTTCCCCATGACATTAAAGTCCAGTCATGTCTGACTCTTGGGGGTGATGCTCATCTCTGTTTCCTAGCCGAGGGAGCCATTGTTTGTCCGCAGACAGTCTCCGTGGTCATGTGGCCAGCATGACTAAACACCGAGGTACATGGAACGCTGTTCTTCCCACCAAAGTGGTACCTTTTTATCTTCTTGCATTTATATGCTTTCAAACTGCAAGGTTGGCAGGAGCTGGGACAAAGCACAGGAGCCCATCCCGTGTGTGGATTCAAACTGTCAACCTTTCGATCAACCCAGCAGCTCAGCAGTTTAAACCACTGTGCCACTGCATCCCTTACATATGAAGAGTACTGCTTATTATAAGACACATTTTCTGCTCGTATTCACAAAAATAAAAATACTTGGGGAAGGGAAGAAAACTGTGTGTGGGAAGAAAATCTTGGGAAAGTAGATGTGTGTAAAGTTATTAAACCCCAGCTATGCATAGCATTGATAATCTCCAGATTTGGTATTACAGAACATGTTGCCAAGGCATAATGTGTGATTAAAGAAAATAATAAATGTTGTTAGGTGAAATTAATCCATTCAGTTTATATTAAACATCTCTGATAACCAGGTGTGTTGAAATCTGTAACAGCTAAGCAATGTGGGCCTTTGCATGTACCTTGGTACACATCTGTACCCATGTGCACACATCAGGGTTAGCTAACCTTTTAATCTTAGGACATACATCTTAAATAATTGCTTATAAGAGAGAATTGCAGCAGGTGAAACTTCCATGCCACAGACTGTGGGGATTCGAAAATCTTTGTTCCCTTGTACAAATGCTAATTGTACAGGATTTAATTGAACAATGTCATTCTGCAAACTCAAATACAGTTAATGAAGTGCTGCTGGATCTTTCTGTTGAGCAAGTAGTTGCCTGCTTCATTTTCAAAACCAGTTACACAAAAATTTTGCATAACCAGTTGCATGGGTATAATGCATATAATGAACAGTTATGTGCAAATGTAAATTTAATTGGGCTCTTTTGTTCAGAATCTAATTTCTGTTACTGCATCATTTGCACTAATAGAATAACACAGTGGGATCCTGTATTCAGTGTTATTTCTACTTAGAATAGACCCATTCAAATGAATGGGACTTAAGTTAATCATATATACTTCAGGTAGTCTAGTGTAAGCAAGGCTAACACTAGATGCAACCCTCAGAAGTCCTTATATTTAAAGGTGAGCCATCTCAGGTCTGTCCAAGTGTGTAGATAGTACATATTCTTCACTTTGGTCCAAATATTACATATTATTAGGGATATACATTGATTCTTCTTATATTGCTTGCCTACTTCTGAATGTGAAGCTACCTTGCAAACAATGTCTTATTTTTCATACAATTGTATGTGGTTGCAAATGATAAAAATTGTAATAATGTTTTATTTCTTTTATATCTACAGACAATCTATTTGGACAATGATGTTTCTTCATTTGTTCAAATCAGAGGCTCTGTCCCATTATTTTGGGAGCAACCTGGATTGCAGGTAAATAGTGTAAATCATTTGTGTTCTGCTTCTACTCAAACTGTATGTCAGCAGCTGAAAACATAATCCTTCAAGATGCTGAAGGGTTGTGTTTTTTTTTTAAACTTGATGGCTGTAGTGTAGCCCTTGACTAAAAAGCAGTGGCTCTCCCTTGGCAGAAGATAGCACAGAAAGCACCACCAAGCTTTGTCCTCCATTGGCAGAAATAGGTGCTCCATGCACAATTTAATCAAACGGGTTTTTAGAGGAAACTTGTATAGCGCCTCTGAGCTTAAGGGGAACAATGCTAGATCAGAGCAACGATCTACCTAGTCTGCATTCTGTTCATGCAGAGGCTAACCAGCAATCCACAGGAACCCAAGAGCGTCCTCCTGCCCATATTCCCCAGGAATCAGTGCTCGTAGACATACTACCTCAGATAGCATATAGCCAATCAGGACTATTAGCCAGTGATAGAACTCTCCTCTAGATACTTATCCAAACTGTCCTTAAAACCCACCAAATGGTGGCCATCCCTACATCTTATGAAAGTGAATTCCATCGTTTGGTTTCCGTGGAAGATCATGTGTTCCGTCTTTACACAAAAAGTTATTGTTTCTTTAATAAGCTAAAGGGCATTTTGCAGTCTAGTGGCTTCTTCTTCGGAATGATAAGTCCTAGTTTGTGAAAAACAGCACAAAGGGATATAGATTATTCATGTCTTACCTACAGTGTTTCTTTTTTGTTACAGTGGTTCAGACATTGTCTTTGTTTTAGGGCAGCAATTATGGTTGTGTGTACATGTGTGTGTGTGTGGAAGGGAGTTTTTGTGAGCTCCTGGATCTGGGATGCGAAGAACCAGAAATACAAACATAGAACACAATGATGTTTCCTACAGCAAATACATTTGTTATAGTCATAAGTATCCCAAACAGTTTTGTTTGTGGATTTTTTTGGTAACAGGAGAGCTTGTTGGATAGAGAGTGAGAGCCAGTATGGACAGGGAGATTAGAGTGTTGGACTGGAACTCGGAATCTGGGTTCCAGTTCCCACTTGCCATGAAGCTCACTAGTTAACTTTGGACCAGTTGCTGACTCTCAGGTAACCTAACCCATAAGATGGTTGTGAGGATAAAATGGAAAGAAGTATCTTGTGTTCTTCACAAGAGGAAGAAAGGTGGGATATAAATGCAATGTAATAAAAATATAACCATTTCTAGGATATTATTATGAATATGCTCTCATTTGCTGATGTTGTTTGCCAATAAAATCTGCATTCTGTGTGTTTTGTACCATGTGTGGGTGCCAGTGTGGTTGCTAAGTGATAATAAAGGAGCATTTTCTCAAAATGATAAAGGGAGACATCTAGTGATTCATATTAAAACCATTGCTTCATATTATTTTCATTGTCATTCTCTTAGGTTGGCTCTCATCATTTGAAACTTACCAGAGGCCTAGAAGCTAATGCTCCTGCATTTGACAAGTATGTTCAATTGCCATAGTGCTAATAACTCAGTAGAATCAAATGTTACCACTTGTATTCTAGGGTATCCTAGAAAGCCTGTGTGGTGCCTCCTCTTTCTTCTTCAAAACCATCCTTATGTGAAGTATCTTGCTAATTCAAAAAGAGAGCTAGTCTCAAGAAGCTGAAAAAATAGTTTTAAATTTAGGAAGCCTGGTTCATTTCAGCCCAACATATTATTAATGACCTTGGCTGGGGGTGGTGGAATTCTTTAAAAAAATCCTGCCAAGAACTATGTCTGGGCTGTCTCTTATGTTTGAAGGGAAACAATCCTGACAGAGTTCTCTGAAGCCTACAGTTTTGGAGAGAAGGAGTGCTGTAGAAACTCCACCCTCTTCGGTAGATTTCCTGTCCACCTGAGTGCCAGTCTGTTTGCACCTTCTGTTGGACTCCTGGGACAGAGTGGAGATTCCTCTAGTGCACCACCTACTCAGCTGCCTAGCAGTCTTTCTTCCTGAGCTGATGGAGATGGCCTTGGGGTGCTTGGGATCTCCAGGATGATTTTTCAAGGAAACCTTGACATTCATGCTGAATCTATCAGATCTGCCCCATGGCAATTACACCATGCAGTTCCCAAAACCTCTACTTTACTCCTCATACTGTTTGATATTTACATGAAACCACTGGGAGAGGCCATCCAGAAATGAGTGAGTAGGTGCCATGTGTATGCAGATGACATACAGCTCTACCTCTCTTTGTCATCTAATGTAAGTGAGGCAGTGGATATTCTGAATCAGTGCTTCAGTGTGATCATGTATTGATCATGTAAACTGAGATTCAGTCCAGATAAGCCAAAGGAGCTTTTAGCAGATGTTTTATTTTCCCAGTTGCACTCAAAGGACCAGGCTTGCAGTCTGGGAGTGCTTATAAATCCTTCACTGTCAGTGGTAGGATGGGTGGCCTGTGAGGCACAGAGATCCTTTTACTAGCTTATATTGGTATACCAACTACAACCCTATCTGGACAGAGATAGCCCTGTTAGAATTATCTCTGCTCTGGTAACCTCTAGTTTAGGTTACTGCAATGCATTATGTATGGCATTGGCTTTGTAAACATCAGTTGGTCCAAAATAAGGCAGCAAGATTACAAACTGGGAATGGCTGTTCTAATCATACAACTAGAACTGATCTTGCCCTGGCTGCCTGTCTGTTTCTGGGACCAGTTAAAGTGCTGATTTTGATCTACAAACCTTTATAACTTGAGGTTTGGTTACTCAATAATCCTACCACTCATACCTACTTGGATCCCTAAAAAATTTTTTCAGGGGCCCCTTTCTAGAAGCCATTGCCAAACACTGTAAAGCAGTTAGCTACCAGACAAAAGCTGTTTTGTGGTGGAAGCCCACTCCTTGAACGGGAATGCTTTCCACTTGTGGAATTCCCTCCCAAGTGCCTGTGTTGAATGGTTTTTCTTTTCTTTTAATCGTGCATTTAATATGTTTGTTTCATGAGTGTTTATTATTATTAATTTCACTTCTGTGTAGCCCAACAGCCAAGCTCTCTGGGCAGTTCACAACAATTCATAGACACAAGTACAATAATAAAATAACATATACAAAACAGTTTAAACAATTCCAATGAAAACTAGACCTGTTAGGTTTTTATGTTAATAATTGTCTTTTATTGTTAGTGGCCTTGAGCAAGATCGGCTGGTAGAAAAGCAGGATAAAAATAATATAAACAAACATAGGAACAAATACTGTGAGGCACTGAATTGGGGGCAATGGTTTCATCTTAATAGGCTTTCTACTACCAGGGAAAACTTATCGTCTGGAGAAGTAAAGATAAGGCTTCATAATAGGACACAAGTGGCTGGGAATGGGAGAAAGAACTGAATTGGAAATCACTAGTAATGTTACAAGCCCTGTCCAGTAGGTTCCTCAATATATGCATACCTACATGTCACACAGCACTTGATGCTGTGGTGGATGCTTCTAATAGAGGGAAGAACTGTACTTTTAAAACCATTAAAAATAGCACATTTTTGTTTTACTGCTGGGAAGCGAGATATCTTGTAGCAGTAGTGCTACCTTGAGGGATATTTTCTTGATCTTCCACTACAAATAAGTAACTACTGTGTATTTATTACACCTATTAAGCAGTTGGTTTGAGAAACTAATGGGATTTTGTCCCATTATTATTCACTGCTTTTTCCAGTTCCTCACTCTCCCAGGAACTGGTAAAGCCAAGTAAATGCTATGAGGATTGTGATCAAGGAGTGGTGGTTGGCTATTGAAATAGATGTCATTCCTGCTGATAGAGCAATTTATGAGATCTAAGAGGGAATCAAGATGTTCTGTTGCTATCCAGAGAGAGTTGTAGAATTTATAAGGCAGGCATTTATATTTGTTAAATTTCTTTTAAAAAGAGTTGTATTGAATCAAAGCGCCCCATTTCTGCATTTGCAGGCATATGATGCTTCTGAAGGAACAATATGGCAAACAAGTTATTGTTAATCTGCTAGGAAGCAGAGGAGGTGAGGAGGTCCTCAACAGGGCTTTCAAGGTAAAAAGAAAAATTAAAATGCACAGCATTTTGCCGAGTTTCTCTAAGCTCAGAGTCTTGCTTGTCATTAAAAGATTAAATATCTTCCTATCAGATTGTGGACATCTGACTAGTGTAAGATATAGTGATTATTGTTATTAATATTACTGTCATTGTTACCATTATTATGATGTTTCTATAACTGGATTTCTTGCAAAGGAGATTTGGTGAAGCTTGTACAATTAAACATTTGCTGGCCTATTTAGTCCGTAAGAGTGGTTCACTCTTGCTAGATCTTTACAGCTGCTGTCATAATTTCAATACGAGTGCCAATATGAATTCATAATTTCTTTGAAGCTAGTCATCATTTCCCAAAGAAGAAATTCTACTACCCTGGGCATTTTAAAGTTTAAAAAATTCCTTTGTATTTCCAACCAAATTTCTCACAACATTACAAATTTGGTACACAATCCTATTCAGGAGTTATACCAGCTAAGGATCTATAGTTTCCCTCTCCCTCTCCCTCTGTAATGGAAGCCCTGTTATACTGCAGGGAACTTGATGGGCTTAGGGACAGTAGCCCCTGCACTCTTGAGTTGCTTGGACTGAGAGCGGGCAGGCACAAGTGAGATGGTTACTGATCCCAGAGTGTATGAGGCTGTCAGATGTGGGGCCACTATGAGTTCTGCCAGGACGCTACATGGATTGCCGGTGGTGGGAGTGGGGGTAGAGGGATTTAAAAGGGCTGGTTTGCTCATATAGGAGCCAAACGGCTGTCCATGCAGCACTTCTCCTGATTGGCACAGCTGTTCCTGTGGTGGGGTTTAACTTGAATTCTAGCCAGAGTCTCCCATCTGTTCTACTCAGCTACTGCTCTTTCTTCTGTCCTTATACACCTGGCATCTGTGATGGTGTCTTGGGGCTAGGGATTGGAGGGGGGACGGGGACAAATGTTCCCATGATGCATCTGATTCCTATCTGCCAAGGCCGAGTGGCTGGGAAATCCTCTTTGGTGTCTTTAGTGTTCCAGTGCTGCTGTCTTGTTTGGGTGTGCAAAAGGTAAGGGGGGTGCATTTCCCATTGTGGGGTTCAAACTCCTATCTCCTGTTTCCCAGACCTACTCCATATGGAGTGAGCCACTGGACACTGCTGCTCTCTGTGGGTATCTGTGCATCCTCTTGTTGCTTGCCTAGACCTTTCCCTTTTGTTGCTTGGAAAAGAGTATTTTCCTGCTAGGGAAGTCTTGAACCCTTGGCCGAGGAGGGCTGCTGTGTGTACTTCATGGGCATCTTGTCAAGGGAGCTGTATGTAGGCCTTCTTCTTCTTCCCATTACTACATTGTGCTCATATATCTTTGTGAAGCACATCAGGGGACTGGAACTCCTCTTAGAGTGATACCTGGAGACTGGCTGCTGGCATAGCAGCTGAGCTAATGAAATGACGATGCTGTGGCACTGACCTGCAGGTCTCCGCTGGGGGCATGACACTGTTGTTGTGAGTTCATTGGCTGCCTTTGCATGTGGGCAGCATGTGGGCATTGTCCATGATCCATGATCAGGGACTGCTGTTAATGCTTGGATGCTTGAGGGCATTTGGTGCTGTTTCCCCCCCATTTTTATATTTTCTTCTTGAGTAGCACTTTCTTCCCCATGCCTGGGCCTTTCCACCAGTATTATGGTGACACGTTCCTGGTTCCAGTGTAATATAAGTAAAAGATTGCTCTGTCACTATTGTTTTCCATTATTTTTCTTCTCTCAATAATATCTGTAATTTCTGTAAGGAATGATCATTTGTAATCTCTTCGTATTGTTAACAATTAACACAGCTGCAGATTCGGGTACAATGCTTTGAACAATGATTCATGCTAAGACAGTAGTGTTTTAGTCTGATGTCATTCCCAAGCACGCAGCTGCCTGTAAATAGCCACTGAAGTGTGGGCAGTTACCAAAGAAACAGATCTGATGTCAGTAACAAACCAGGAAAGCATGCCTCTTCGCCAGATAAAAACAGCACGTAAAGTACTTGTTCTTCTGTATTATTTCGGATTGTGTCTGCTTGGACTTTGAAATGAGCTTGATAATAATACCAATGCAAGTGAACAAAAATGGTAAACAAAAATGCAGGGATAATTTCAATCGTAAGCATTTACCACTGACATCTGCCTGTGATACAGCTAAAAAGGCAGGGTAGAAATGTTTTAAGCAAGTACCTTAAATGAATAAGTGCTTTGTGATGCACCAGAGTATGACTGGAGCAATCCTCTACTCATATTACACCTGTTACTCATAGACATTGCACTTATTATGCAATACAGTTCAGAGAAGTATTCACATATAGTAAAGGGAGTAGGGAGGAAGCATGGAAGGTAGCAAATGTTCCCCTTTCTCTTCCTTACCTGTATAAGGTGCATTGTCCTGATACCCCCAGGCGTTGGAGTGGTGTTGAATATAGTGTGCCCAGCCATGGCCTGGACATTCTGCACTCCTGAGATCAGTGAGGAGATTTGGGGAGTGTTGAGAAAGTGGATTGTGCACTAGTTTGACAACTTCGCTGCAAGTTGCTCCCTCAATTTTCCAGTATTCTCCTCTGGCCTCAGGCTGAGCACATCAGTTCAAGGAGGACTCACCTGGCCCTTGGCAACCTAGCAGCCACCTGGGGTATATAAACAGGCCTGCTGCTGGGTGATGGGATGCCACTGGTGGGTGGCCTCAGCAGGGTCAACCCCAAGGGGTGCACCCTTTTGGTATTCATGTCAAAATACTGATGGAGCTGTTGAGCCAGGCTGCCGATACAATTGCTCCTAAGTGCCATTTTGTTTGTAGAGTTTGTGTGCCTCTGTGGTATGCATAGGAGATAGGTTGAGTATAGATGGAGAAAAACTCCTAGGAGGTTCAATTGAACCCTGGAATATGCCTATAATCAGGCATATTTAGAGGCAGTGTGAGTTGCAAAAAAACAAAATCTCACTTCCTCTGGTTAGTTTTCTATTTCCTGCCCATTGGATCTTTTAAGGCTCATTCAGGGCCTATTACATGCCGACACCAAGGACATCCTAGACCTGTCTGAAAATCACTGTAATATATTTGCTAGGCACTTGCAGGATAAAATTCCTTACAACCCCAGAGTTAAAGTAGGTGAGAAATCAGAACACAGCATAGTTCTGCTGTATGGGATGAGTTTCAGTTGCTACAAGTTTATACAATCACTTCCATATTGAAAACTTGCCCGTCCTTATAAACACCAGTAAGGAGGGTAAACCAGCTTGGCCAGAGAAGAATGTTGAGAGAGGCTCAGAGGGCAGCAGCAAGGAGGGGAGTTTTCTCTGTGATGGCTCCCTAAATATGGAATGACCTCCCCACTGAGGCCCACCTGCTGGCAACCTTGACATCTTTTCAACACCAGGTTAAGATGTCCCTTTACAACCAGGCATTTAAACTTATACAGGGAAGTTCAAGACCTTGAGGGGATTACCCATCCCAGGTGTTTTACTGATCTACTCTTCATTATATGTTGTTCTGTATGTTTTTAGTTTTTAAATTGTTGTATTTTGAAAAAAATGTTATGGTATTTCATTGTTATTATGAACTGCTGCAAACTGTCCAGAGAGCTTCAGCTATTGGACATTACAGAAATGAAATACAACTTCTACTAAAAAATAGTAGAAATGAGGCCAGAGAGATATAGTCCTGTGATACCCCTCCGTCTTGTTGCAGTTTTTCTGGGCATGGTTTATATATTAGTGATAGTGTGTGTGGTGTGGTTAGGTTACTCCATAGTTTATGCTGTGTCATGGAGACATGACAGGTCAACACAGAGGTGGCCATTTTTTGCACCTTCCACTGAAGTCATTGCAAGGGAAATTCTTTTCACCAGATTTGAAACTTTACCAGCTACAAGGTGGTGTAGATTAAAGTGGTATGGAATAGAATATAAGTGTGGTCCTCACCTGTGCCATTTACATCCCATCCTTAAATCCAGTTTCCAAATCCATAAAAGAAATTGTTACATGGCTATCCAGGATATGAGTGCAAAATATGGATCGCTTTTTTCTGTACTGTAAAGATTCAGAACTATGTATTATAACCCAATCTTTTATGTGACATTATGTGGCAGACAGTTTCACAGACTCACAGCCAACTCTGCACTTCATTTGAACAGGGATCATAAACAGAGTTGTGCTAATTCTTGTTTTTTGGCAGGGGAGGGGGCAACTAAAATAATTGTATTTTAATTTTAAACTAATAGTTGGACTGACTTCTGGTTGACTCCCCAGTTTGCCATATCTGACTATAAATGGTTCACCAGCAATTCAGTGTATATATTCACAAACATTTCTGCAGAAAAATATTGGAATAAAAAATTATCTTCCTTTTTCTTGGTATGCAGAAGTTGCTATGGGCATCGTCCCATGCAGCAGACACCCCCATGATTAATTTTGATTACCACCAGTTTGCAAAAGGTGGGAAAATGGAGAAACTGGAAAATTTGCTGGGGCCTCAGCTGAAGTTGCACTGGGACGAACTGGGCATCTTCGTAAAAGGCAAGAATACAAGTTCCCGGTGAGTATCTTAGCTGCTTCAGTATTTATTATCCAGCTTCGCAGATTCACACTTGACAGCTGAGGGCCATGGTTGTGCTGTTTTTCTGTAGAGTAATTGATATATTGAAGAGGTGAGGTCCTGTGAAAGGACAAGTAAGGGTAGATATGACTGAGGCGTTTAGAATCATGCATGGTGTGGAGAAAGTAGAGAAGGAGACATTTTTCTCCCTCTCCCCTTACTCAGACACAGGAACATCCCTGATCATCATGAAGCTGATTGGTGGGATGTTTAAGACAGATAAAAGGAAGTACTTCTTCATACAGCATATAATTAAACTGTGGAATTCACTGCCATGGGACGTGGTGATGGCCGCTAGTCTGGGTGGCTTTAAAAGGGGATTGGACAGATTCTTGAGGGAAGAAGCTATCAGTGACTACTAGTCTAGCTATGTGTTAGCTTCTTGACAAGGGGTTGCATGCCTGCATGCACTAGTTGCTGAGGGGACAAGGCACAAATCTACACCTAGCTGCAGAAATTGTTCAGAGCAAGTGGTGAGAATTAACAAGTGGCGAACACCCAATGCATCTAGCCAGTTCAGTGAGCCCCAGATGCATATCCAGAGGTGCAACAATTGCATACATGGAAGGCTGCTTCCTTGCTGAATTGAGGCAAAGGTAGTGAAAAAATAAATAATCCTGCCTTCCACATGTCCGTATCTCCGCTTCTTTTTATTTTTTTTTCAGATTTTTTTTTAAAGTGTAGTTCTTTGCAGGGTGCTAAATCTTCCATGCTAAAATTGTTCAAGGAGGTGTTAAATCTTCAGAGGGGTATTCAGTGCTAAATCTTTTAGTTCTTTGACTTGATTTTTGAAGTCAACAGATGGGTACCTTACGAATGAACTGCCTGGATTGTCTGGATCGAACTAACACCGTTCAGTCCTTCATAGCGCTTGAGGTGAGTGATCCATCAGATATCACACATCAGCCTTTTCCAGCCAGGTGCCTGCCAGATGTTCTGCACTTCAATTCCTATCAGTCCCAGTACTGAGAAATGCTGGGAATTTGTATTCTAAAACATCTGGAGGTTGGAAAAGTCTGTAATCTGGGGTTATTCATTAAAGAGAAGCGGTATTGGAACAGATAAAAGGAAGCCCCTTTTGCATAGAAAAAGTGAAGATAGCTATGCTGAGCAAAAGAAAATTTCCAAAATCTGTACCACCATAATATCTATGAGGCCATCTCAAAAGTCACAAAATATTGTCCAAGCCCTTGAGTTCTAGAGAACTCATCAGGGAAGATGGTAAATAAAGCAAAATGGTGTGGGGAAGAAAAAAGCAGCTTCTTTTGTTTTCATTTGTCTTTTTACTTTTTCTAAACCAGGTTCTGCTTATTCAACTAGAGAGCCTGGGATTAAACTCCAAGCCTATAGTAGAACGTTTTCTGGAGTCCTATAAGGCAATGTGGCACATCAATGGACACAACTTGAGTAGGATCTTTACAGGCAGTCGTGCCTTGGAAGGAAAAGCTAAGGTACAGATGAAAATGAGACCCAGTTATTGTCAGAGATTATTACTGTGAGTTAAATTAACACTGTTGATCCATTGTTATGCAGGTAGGGAAACTCAAGGATGGTGCCCGTTCAGTGTCACGGACCATTCAGTCCAACTTTTTTGATGGCATAAAACAGGAAGCCATTAATTTGCTGCTTTTGGGTGATTTCTACAGTGAAGACTATGCAGATAGAGAGAGAATGCTCTTGGACCACACGGCATTGCTGAGTAAGCAAAATGCATTTTTCTCCTAATGCTTTGTGCAGGTGGCTACAGTGGCCACACTAGTGCTCAGGCATTTAAAACTAAAAAATCGGTATGCCTCTTCTAGTGGCGTAAATATTATAATTATCTTATTTAAAACTTTGGTTTATAGCTATGAGCAAGAAGACAAAAATGTGTGTAGCACTGGTTGGGTTCTCAGGTTGTAATCCTGTGTGTACTTCCTAAGCTGACTTGGAACTTACTTCCAGGTAAACATGCATAGGACTATGGTGTCAGTAGGCAATAGTTCATGATCAGGTAATCATTAGCCCACTGAAAGGTTGTCCAACCAATCTAGGTCTCTTCATATGCCTTCTTAACAACTGTGGTGACCTGTTACTATGTGGATTGCAGTTTGATATGAAATGCTTACCCTTTCTTTAGATAGTAAGAGAAATGATTAAAGGCATGCCAGCACAAGATGCAGTGATGGCCAGCAGTTTGGACGGCCTTAAAAGGTGATTGCAGAAATTCATGGAGGACAAATCTATCAATGGCTCCCAGTCCTGATGGCTTTATGCTGCCTCCAGGATCAGAAGCTGTATGTCTAGGTATACCAGTCGTTAGGGAATATGAGCAGGATGGTGCTTTTGCACTCACGTGCTTCCTGTGGGCTTCTCACAGGTGGTTGGTTGGCTACTGAATGCTGGATTAGATGGACCCTTGGTCTGATTCCATATGCTCTACTTAGGTTCAGCAAAAAAAAAAAAAAAAATGGTCATGAGATAATTTGATATCAGTTGTCATGAATCAGTTTGTTGCTTTTATCTCATTGCAGAAAATCCCTCCCACTTTTTATTTTTTTTTCTTTCTATCTATCTATCAGTGACTCCTAGCACTTTGAAATCCATGTCAGAGCGTCAGTTTGAATTTACAAAAGTCAAGAGAATTCGTGTTGCCGTGGGGACCTGGAATGTGAATGGAGGCAAACAGTTTAAGAGCAATATCCTTGGTACCAGTGAGTTAACAGACTGGTTACTGGACTCTCCAAAACTCTCTGGGGTTTCAGAGTTTCAAGGTAACAAAGAGCACTAGACCATATACAGCATGAATGTATGTGCTTTCATTTATAGACATTATCAGATAAATATGGTTATCATTCATTCAGATGTATCATTCAACCATACATTTATGGTTATACTTATATCCCACCTTTTTCATTTCAAGGAACTCAAGGCAGTTTACATCCCTTTCAGGACTGATTGGCTTCACTCTGGTAGTATTAGAATTGTTAGGGTACATACACACCACCTAGAAAGCTTAGGTTTTATATACAAATAGTCCAAACTACTAATTAAAAAGTTCATAGAAATGTCTGAAAATGAGACATTGCTACATTTCTCACTTAAAATGAGAGACTTTAAACTCATCCTCCAATGGCTGAGGATACTTCCACACAACACAGAAAGCTGTAATGTAGTACACACACAATTCAAGATACCCTGATCAATAGAAAAGTATGAAAGGGGCCTTTCAGTTAAGTGATAAACAGAAGGGCAATATGCCATTCCATAGCAAGGCCAAGATGCACCTAGAGCATAATACTGGGCTTTAGAAGATCAGCTGCCTTTCCATGTGCTTCAATTTTGGTTGGATAGGGTCAAGGGGAACCTTCTGATATCAGCTAGGAACATGCATGTATGCCTACAAAATGCAAGCTTTCAATTTCTACTTTTTCTGTCAAAGAAAAGAAATTATTAGATGAAGTATCAAATCAATTTGTGTCTTGGGTTTTTTCTCTTGTTGCAATAGATGACTACTGTCCTGCTGACATATTTGCTGTAGGATTTGAAGAGATGGTGGAATTAAATGCTGGGAATATTGTGAATGCTAGGTATGCTGAAAGTGAATTGTTGGATTGCATATTTCTAACAAGATACTGGCAGAGTTGCATACTTTTGTGTACTTTGGATAGAGTTAGCTATGCCCTGCTATTCTCTCATTGTATGTGGGGCTGCCTTTGGAAATGGAAACTACAGTTGATTCAAAACAGGGCTGCATAATGATTAAATACAACTGGGTGTTTCTCTCACATTTTACCAGTACTTTATCAATTGCACTGACTCCCAGTCTGTTTCTGATCTCTGTTTAAAGTGCTGATTTTAATCTTAAAGCTTTTAATAAGTTGGGACCAAAGTTTATGAAAGATTATTCAAACTCTGAGATCTTATGAAGCCTTGTTCTGGGTGTCTCTGCTAAGTGAAGTGAAACTGGTAGCCCCCATTGAGACAGGCCTCTCAGTGGTAGCTACCATTAGGAGAGACATTCCACTTGTGGAATGCCTGGTTCTCACTTATGGTCACTTTTGCCCTAGGGAGAAGACTCTTTTAAATTATCCCAGACCTTTAGAAAATCAGTGATTTTTAGTGTTCTGAAACCTTGTTTGTGTGGTATGTTTGTTCAATCTGCTTTTTTTTACTCTTGTGAAATAGTTGTTTTATGATATAGCATCTTAAAATTGTATTTTATTATTTGTGCTGTAGATTACCTGGAAAGCAATGTTATCGAATGTGTTTGTATAAATACAGTAAAGAAGTGCATTACATTAACAAAAATGCCATGAGCTGGTTCATACTTGCATGTATGACTTTCAGAGATTAATTTTTCTTATAATCTCATACCAACTTAAATGCAAAACATTTCAATTGCAATATAGTACTTTTCTACATATGAATGCAGGTGTCAATTGATGTTCTTTCATATGTGAATCCAATTTTAGGTAGGTTGTTTGAAGCTGCGAATACTTGTAATTGTGTAGTCTTTAAAGGTGGCTGCACAAAGTGAACTAAAATAAGAATGCTGATCTCTAAGAATCTCAGTTAGAAGTTAATCTATTATTGCCTTATTAGACTTAGAGTGGAGAATAGGGGAAAAATGAAGAGGACTGCTGGAGTGGTGTTTATTTTGAGCTTAAGATTTTTGTTGAGTGAACCTTAAGTACCCAAATACCATATCGATCTATGTTTATGTAATATGTATAATGTAATAGTAATCTAATAGAAATTTTGTTCATGATCAAGTCTAAAAATGCATTTGGTTGAAATGCTGTGATGCTTCCATTAGCTTATTTTAGTTTAGGTTTTTTTTTTTTAAATTACCATGTCACTACGAAAAATTAGTCAAATGTACCTATTTAATTTTTTCAGCACAACTAACAGGAAGATGTGGGGAGAACAACTTCAAAAGGCTCTTTCCAGAACACATAGATATATTCTGTTAACATCTGCACAGCTTGTTGGGGTTTGCCTCTTCATCTATGTACGACCTCATCACGTCCCCTTTATCAGGTATTTCTTGTTGCTTTCTTTGCAGATAACAAGTAAGATCAAGTATAGGCCTTCTTTCACTGTAAATGCATGCTTATAAATTATAATTAAAAATGAGAAAGCAAAGGTAAATATTAAAAGGGAATGTAAATTTTTGACATTGTGGATTATATAACTTGGAATAAAAACAACTGTTAGTTCTTTTCACCAGAAGTGATTGCTGCTGTGTTCTTCAGGATTCCTATAGTCTAACACTAATTAGAGAGCCATTTATATGGCTTTAACTAGCCATTTCTTTACGCAGTTTATACATGGCCTGTGTATATAGGATACATGGTGAAGTGTACAAACAAATCTTAACTCATTTTCTCCCATTATAACATTCATGGGAACCAAGGCCTTGCAAATGCGGCCCATTTATCCCCTTTCCAGGACAGGTGCATTTTATGAATGGTGTTGAAGTCGAAACCTAACATTGTATACCTACATGCCTGGGTCATGGGTGAAGGGGGCTATGGCTCAATGTGTTAATTAACCTGCATGTGCTGTCATGACGCTGCCAGTAATATCTGAAGAAATCCAATGAAGCAGCATTCCTGTGTCCCAACCCCTGAGACCTGCCACTGGGGGCCATTAGGGTTACACTAGTGTTGGAAGTCAGCCTGTATTAGTTGTATTGTGTGATTGCAATCCTTCAGATGTCACCACCAGTAGTGTAGGAATAGATGTCATGCAGAGGCTTCCCTACAGCAGCAGGTAATACGTACCGGGCCATATGGCTAAGACATTGCAAAAGGGAATTACTGGAGCATGGGGGTTAGTACTTACAAAAATATAGATTCAATTAATATATTTTCTTAGTGAGGAATCTGTTTACAGCTACTGCATCACCCTCAATTTTGTAGTCCTTTGGGAGAATAGTACACTACTATGTTTGTAGGAAGATGGATTTTTTTCCTGCTGATTCTCAAAGAAAGAGATAACCAGCTGGGTGCAAGTTGGTGTTAGTTCCTCATAGAGAAAGGGGGCAATACCAGCTGCTTTCAAAGAGGAAAGTCATCAAGCTACTTTTGAAGAAACCTAACCCAGAAGATGACAATTGCAGTAGGCTGGTTGCTAATATCTTACCTGACCAAAGTGCTTGAATGAAAGGCTGCTGATCACCTCCAAGCACATTTGGATATACCTGACATTCTAGATCCATTTATTTATTATTTGCATTTGCATTATAGCCCAGGTTCTCTCTGGGCAGCTCACAGGAAAACAGAAACCACAAATAATATAGTGATTTTTAGTGTGGTTTTAAGTCTGGTTTTAGAATCGAAATTGACTTGGATACTGTGTGGAATGACAGTTAATGAGAGAGGGATGGCAGGAGTACAACAATATTGGATTTCCTGAACTCCTCAATGGCTGTTTGAGAGATACCATTTATCATGGTATGTTTACATCAAGCCAGCATGTCAAGTCATTTTTGCTAAGCTGTAAGGGCACAGGCTTACCCCATGCAAAAGCAGAGCAGGGGGCTGAACTCAGTGGTCTTATAGGCCTCTTCCAACTCTACTAATACTCTGTGTTCTATTCTATATATGCAGCTCATACCTAGCTCTATCTCTCTTTTTCAATTAATGCAAGTAAGACAATGTTTTGAACTAGTATTTACACAGAGTAATAGACTGGATGAGGGCCAATAAACAAAAAATTAGGCTAGACAAGATGGCAGTACTGTTGATTCGTGATTTGTCTGCCCAGATGAGTGGTGGTCAACCTGTTCTAGTGTGGCTTACTCTCGCCTAAAGGATAACATTCATAATTTGGGGGTGCTCTTTGATCCAGCTTCGGTTCAGTGTGTCTTTATGTTTTCCCATTTCATTTAAAAAGTTCTAGTGCTTTTGAATTTTTACATGCCTCATCCTCTGCTCTTGGTTTTAGCTGTCCTATTTTATGTTTCATTTGTATCATGTTTCTTATGATTGTAATTAATTTGTATAATGTCCATAAGCATACAGTTTTTGGGCAGTTTAAAAATATAAGAAGTAGAAGTAATAGAGAGAGAGAGAGAGAGAATGAGCACGTGTACAAATTGTTCTTGATGAATTGCTCCTTTTGAACTGAATTGCATTCTGCTTGCATAATTCACATGGTGCAAATGGTGAGCTTTGAAATTTTTATTGACATCTTTTGAAATAGAACATGACCTCCATTAAGGAACTGTATTTCAGGGCAAGCTTAATAGCATTCAACCTGAAAATTGCTGGCTAAATAGATTGATGTTGGCCAAAAGAAAATTAGAGTGTTCGCATACATACACACAGACAGTGGTAGCTCAGCTTACAAACTTAATCTGTTCCGCTGCTCTGGTCACAAGCCAAGTCAAATTTTCCCATAAGGGTCAATGTAAATAAGGTTAATCCATTCTGTAAATATTTTTTTAATCACAAAAATTTGAAACAAAGTACAGTACAGTAGAGAACACTAACCTAGTTGCGGGGGGAGGTTGTTTGGAGGGAGAGTCCAAACCATAATAGTGCAATAGCGATCGTGCCGGTGGGGGCAGGGGGAGATGGCCGCAATCGTAGTTGCGCTCGTGGAGGGAAGACGGGCGCGATCGTGGTTGTCACCCAAGGTGGAGTTTGCAAACTGAGGCAAAATTTTTCTGAAATTTCTGTTCATGACCTGATTTGGTCGTGAACTGAAGCATTCGCGTTCATGAGCCGAGGTACCACTGTATACACACACACACACACACACACACATATACATGCATGCGCACACACAGAGAGAGAAAGAGACAGAGAGAGATTTTATTTATATTATAAATGTTTTGGGCAAAAATGCAATTATTCCTCTCAAGTCACAATAAAGGTTTATGGTTTAATCTCTACAGGTTCAAAAGTGATGTTATGCTTTACAGGTCTAACTGAAAAAGGGCTTGGGTTGGTTTACTTCTAAGTAGACATGTATAGTATTGCACTGAAGGTTACTTTGCAGTTTTGTTTGCATATCATACAAGTTAGCTGATTTTCTTAATAAACTGTAGTATACTTGGGTTTAGAAGACTGTCTATCTTTATGACATTATGATGGTACATAAATTGTCTAAAGTCTCCAAGTTCAGTCCTTTACAAGTTTCACTTAAATGAATTGGACTTGCCTATGTTGAGCACACAATATTTGTTTGAGCAGAACTTGCACAGAGCACTCTGGTGTTGATTTTCCCAGTAATGGCTTGGATATGGACATGCACTCAGTGGAACTCCTCTGTTGCTGAAGAAATGGGATAAGGCAGCAATTTTCTCTGCTTCTGTATTCAGCCTTCTAGGTTAATTGCTATGCTGTTCTGATAGACTGGGGGAACTGCATGAGAAGCTGCCACCAGGGCTTGCAGAGGTGGGTGGGGGGAAGCAAATAATTTGTTGCCCCCCTCTCCAGCAGAAGCCTCCAATGGATCTGGTTGCCTCAGCAAACAGAAGGACCCATGCCATTCAGAGAGAGCCAGGTCTGAATCCAACCCAGTGTACTAAGTAAAACCAAGTAGTTTCTTTTCAGTTTCCTTTTGTTTTCAGAGATTTATTTCTGGTTCTGGGTATTCTCTTCTTCTGCTCAGGGAAGTAGCAGTGGACACCGTGAAGACTGGAATGGGAGGGAAGACTGGAAATAAAGGAGCAGTTAGCATCCGTTTCCAGTTCCATAGCACCAGTTTGTGCTTTATATGTAGTCATTTGACAGCTGGTCAGTCTCAGGTGAAAGAACGGAATGAAGACTATAAAGAGATCACCCAGAAACTGAGTTTTCCAATGGTAAGGTCTGCAAGCTGATTTATTTTCGGCAATGCTGAATGTTTATCCATGAAAATTCCAGGGCAAAAGGATGGATCAGTGTGCATGACAAAGGTTTCATCCTCCTTCCACATGATTGTGCTTTTCATCTGCTATGTGCTGCCTGTTCACAGCTGCTGCTTTTTTATCATCATGATCTAGGTATTTATTTGTTTATGCATAAAGCACCTAAATTAATAAAAAAAATTGCCTGTTGGCTTACAGTGCTAACATTGACATTCATAACAGGAAATGTTAGCTGTGCTGAAGTCTCAAAAAAGATTTGGAATCAAATATTATACTAGCTTAAGAGTTTCTAGGAAAAAAGACCATAAATTTAAGTTAGTTAAAAGTATTGTGAAAGAAAACATTAAGAGTCCGGAAGTTCCAAGCACAGTATCTGGGGCAAATGACAGAAAACACATGGTGTTTATCTTGTATCTTGTTGACTATTTGCAACTGTTTATTTCTCCAGTTTGCAGCCTCTGTACTGCCTTTTTCCTTCTTTGAATGATTCCCAACAGGCCTGGGGGTCCCACAAATGGGATGATGTCACAAAGCCAAATCTGAGTAAGGGCAAGAAGCAATGCCCTTACTCTGAGTGGATACAGGGTAATGTTAGGAAGCCTCCTAAGGCTTGGTTGCCTATCCTTATATCACATAGGTCATACCATAACAATTCTTTGTCTTAAAATAACTTTACATAATATTAACCTCAACCTAAGGCAACCTTTCTGAACTTGATGCGCTTTAGATGTGCCCTGACCATCCTGCCCATTAGCAGTGCTGGATGGAATTGATAGGAGCTATGGCCCCAAAAATTTGGAAAGCTCTGGGGAAGGCTGACCTTAGGATATACCTAGTGCTAAGTACTTCGTATGTTACAGGACATGATTTTATAATTGCATTCATAACATGATGGTTCCTCAGTTTTCCATATATTATTTTTATTTTGGGCCTCTTCAAACAGTAAGTTGAGGGATCTAAGAACCAGGCCAAGGAATGAGTTGTGCCATACCATACCATTTAAGGGAAAGTAGATAATGGATGATGCCCTGCTATTTCAAGACGTCGGGGCTATAGCACATTCACTTGTTTCTCATTTTGCATGTTACAAAAGTAGTTCCTATGATTCTGAAGTCTTAAAAAGATTATTTTGAATTTCTGCAAAACAGTGCGTACAACTGCCCTTATCAGAAATTCATTAAGTAGCTTATTTTGTTTCTAAACTCTGTACCTACTGTGTATCTATATTAATAGTGCCCTCTAGTGGCGACTTCCTTATGGAATTTATGGAAGCATAGGCATAGGAGTGTATTCATAAAGTAGTATTTAGTTTCTTACTGTGTTTGTTTTAAAAAGAAAAAAAATAGTTAAATTAAATTGAACTGTGGCAATGGGCACCAAATAAGAGTTTGATGACTGAGAATCTTGTAGGTCTTTGTTAGAGTTCTAATTTGTATCCACCAGTTTCAAGTGCGATTCTAAGCCAAAAATTGGTGCTATGTTCACAAGCTTCTATGAACATGAGCAAAGCTACAGGTTTGAGCCTCCTCCTGCCATACAAGAAATAAACCTTGATTCAGTTTCACTTTTCTTAATTGCAGAGTAGTCATGACATAAACCAGCAGTTACAGTTTATAGTTAACTCTAGCCAATTGTTAAACCAGACAGCTTCAAACCATTGCAACAAGCAGGCTTGTTGAATGAACTAACATGACTCATGTATATATTTTAAACTATGATTCCTGGTTTGTGTGTGATGCCAAGACAGCAAATTGAGGAAGGCCAAACTGAAGTATGGCTTGTTTTTCCTTATAGCACTGCAGAGGAGGAGAGGATGCAGAGAAATTGTAGAGTGTACTGCACATAATACTAAACTATGTAGCCAACTGAGTGTAAGGCCACAGTTTTAAAAAGGGGGTGGGCAGCTGTTTCTGTTTGTGTTTAATTCTGATAGACACATTTTTGGTAGACACACACTTTTCAGTTAAATCATGTTCTTTAAAAAGAATTTCTGTAAGCACCCAACATAGATAACAATAATTATGCCAGATTATCAGGTAATTTGATTTCTATTGTTCCAGTATTAGATGATAGCTAGTATAGGCAGTCCCCAAGTTATGGACAAGTTCTGTTCCTGAAAAAACAGACATTTGTCTTTAAGTTGAATTTTTATGTAAGTTGGATGATGTATAGTTGGCCCTCTACATTCACAGGAGTAAGGGGCACTGGACCCCTGTGAAAGTGGAAAATCCATGAATCTCTATCCCTTCCCCCACCCAACCTCACCAGTGCCTCCTCTTTGCAGCAAGGAAGTGATGGATGAATTTCCTTTTCTAGATGGGTGGGGCAAGAAGGCATGCTCTGGAGGCCTCCCTCTCTGCCCTCTCACTCCCTCTTTCTCTTTGGTGATGGCAATTTTCAGCAATTTTTAAAAAAATAATAGGTTTTATTGCACTTCATTTGCAAGTACGAGTTGTTCATAATTTGAACGCTCATAACTCTGGGACTGCCTGTATTGCAAGTAAGTCTCAAACTGCAAGTTACATACCTGTATCGAGAAAGTGCCCAGTTTTGTAGTCTTTGCATAAGTGGGTTCTACTTTGATTTGATGAAGACAACCCTAATGCAACACTTGGAGATAAAGAATGCTGTTGCTTACTATGTGCTTAAAAATGTGGACCCATTTATCCTAAACAGGGAAGAAGTATGTTTTCTCATGACTACGTGTTCTGGTGTGGTGATTTTAACTATCGCATTGACTTGACTTACGAAGAAGTATTTTATTTTCTCAAACGACAAGATTGGAGGACACTCCTGGAATTTGATCAACTGCAGCAGCAGAAATCCAGTGGAAAAGTAAGGGAATTAGAACTGTTTAAAAGACCAGTTAATGTAAAATGGATGTTTATCCCAAAGCTCATCACTTAGTTGAGCTCAAGATCCAGGGCATGGGTTGGAAGGCACGTAATGGAGCCATCTTGTGGAAACTATAAGTGGGGAAGTGTCTGGTCTGTTTCTGGATGGGAACATATTAGGTCGGATACAATATCATTCCTCGACCCTTAGGAAAATTCTACTGGCAGAACAGGACTTGCATGTCCTTTCCTCCCCTTCACCCTGCAACATCTTACACACTCTCCAAATCTCCTCTTGAGAATTGGAGATTTGGAGATCCCTCTGGGTGCTGCAAGGGTGGAGGCAAAGATTCCTTACCCTTCCATGGGTAGAGACATAATGATGACTCCAACCCACTGTGTGCTTCTTCGACTAATGCAATGGATAGGAAGTGGAACAGATATTTAGGACAGATCCATGGTGTACAACTTGCACTGAAAGTTTCTTCTTGCTTGTATTGAATGTTTGTTTATTTAACTGTTTATTCTTACTTTCTTCAGAAATAAAAAAAAAGGTGGGTTGCCTAAATTTTGAAATGAACTCTTGTAAAGCAATAATAAAATCAAAATGTTGGGAATTTTAAAAAATACATGTGTATTTTTTACAGCCAAACTGCAAAAACACATTTTACACATGGGATAATTTAAAACTTGTCTGTTTGCAAAAGTAAGTTGCTGAAATCTAAATGTAAACAAAACCAATTGACTGAAATGTTATCCTCAGTGCACGATATATATTCACAATGATGTGATCACTCAGATTTTAGATGATCCATAATTTCTTTAATAGATCTTTAAGGATTTTCATGAAGGAACAATTAATTTTGGTCCAACCTATAAATACGACGTGGGTTCAGAGGCTTATGATACAAGTGATAAATGTAGAACTCCAGCCTGGACTGACAGAGTTCTTTGGTGGAGAAAGAAGCTTCCTATTGATAGAACAGGTACACAGGATTCCTATTACTTTTTACAGCTAGGTTGATCATTATTTATGTAATAAAATGAAGAAATGTACTTTTTGAACTGTAGATAGATGCTCTAGTTTCACGTTTATGGGAGTAGTGATTGTAGGCCTGATACTTCATCTCTGAAAGCAAAAATCTCATATTTAGTTTGCATTCCTCTTTGCCTAATGCTTAGGCAGACTTACCCATGCCATGTTGTCATTATGTTGTGCTTCCCCCTACAACTATGCAATAACACAGGTCCCAATTGTTTGGAATGGATATATACAGAGAAATGATACAGATAAATCTGCCTAAATGTTATCGGGAGAGAGGGGAGAGCTTGGTAGTGGCAGCCTATGTGGACAGTCTGTGCCCTAGGTCCTCATGTAATTGTTAGCATTGCTGTTGCTAAGAATTATGTAGTGTTGGGAAGTAGTGCGGGGAAAAGGTTTGGTATCAGAGGTAGCTCTTTGTCCACTTTCTTGCACAGGTAGGATTACCTTGACATAGAATTGAACAGGGCAGTGCCTGCTTCCTCATAGCATTGGCAGAATCCAGTGGGGCGCTTATACCCACATATACCAGCCAGTGGCAATGCACAAACAGTCCCCACTGCTTGTTTGATGGCACCTGCCTCAGTATTACAGATGAACATGGCCTCTCTGACTTGCTTAGTGTCTGCAGTTGTAGGTTTTACCAATTGAGTTGGCCATCATTCTGTGTCAAACTTAAGATTGATTTACTTATTTCTCATGCCTTCACTGAATTTACTAAGTAAATAAGCTCCAGTTTAGCACCTCATACCCTGTGAATCCTAATAAATAATCCTTAACCTTTCATATGGTGGTTCAAGAAATAGTTTGATAGTGCCTCATTGTGGCCCTTGCTACCTGTGTGAAACAGGAAATCCAAAATTGCATCTTGAGTAAACCCATTTAATTATGAACATAAATAAATCATTATGTATCCCCATTGCATTGCAGGCAATTGCCTCATCTCCTCATGTATAGTGATCTTATTTCTGGTTGTTTGTTTGTTTGTTTGAATTATGCTTTCTTTTACAAAGCTGGAGAATTCAGTCTTCTTGACAATGATTTCAGTGCAGAAACCAAAGTCAGACCCATTTGGTCTCCTGGTGCCCTGATGTATTATGGAAGAGCTGAGCTCCAAGCAAGTGATCACAGGTAGCATCTTCCCAACTGGAGCATCACCCTACTGAAATAGTGTTGGTGTTACCATGTTCACCCTCATCACTCTTTTCTTTGTAGTCATATAGTAAAGGAAAGGGTCCATAGCTCAAGGGGTAAAGCATGCCTTTTCTATGCATTGAGTCCCAGGTGCCTTTGGCATCTCCAGTTTTACACAATCTGAGTTTAAAAATGTGCTGGAACACATATTTGCCCAGAAACTTTAACCCTTTGCCACTTGAGTGGACAATTTTGGGCTGGTTGAGCCAAGTTATCATTCCTCAGTTTAAGACATATGTTCATAGAGACTGGCCATCCTTGAGAAGTTTAAGCATTGCATACAGGTATTTTCTAGCTCAGACTCATGGCATCTTTTGGTCCATTAAATATTCATTACTGAAAAATTCTTAAAGGAATATCTACCAGCTTCCTGCCACATCTCACAGCCTCTTTCCATTGTTTTTTTTTTTTTTTTTCCCAGTGGGTAGCAAAGCAAACACTGTGATCATGTGAAAACGGTCAGCTGATTCCAGTGTTCAAATGAATTTGGTAATCGTAGACCACTGATGCATATACCAAATGAAGTATTTTGGATAATGCAGAGGGTGCTGTTGCACTCATGTCCCTTTTGTGGGTTTTCCCTGGGCAGCTGGTTGGCCACTATATGAAAAGAATGCTGGGCTGGATAGACCCTTGGTCTGACCCAGCAGATAGGCAGTGGTTTTTGTTTGGCTATATCTCCATGTGAGTCAGATGACAGCTATGATCTGTCCCCCATCTGCACACCAGTAATGGGAATCTAAAGCTATTAGTTCCATCTTTTAGCAGCACCATGGAAAATTCTGTATTTTGTCTAGGAAAAATGCAGACAATTTCCTTGTCTGCAGTAGTAAACCTCAAGGATAAAATCATCTAAAAGAACCTTAATTTTATGAAAAAATGTGAGGAGACTCAGGATTAGATTTTAAAGACCTGATTCTATGTCGATTTATGTGCTTTCCAAGATGGTGAATATCAATCACTTTTGCTGAGTTTCTAATTTTTTAACTTGAGTGATTTAATAAATACCTGCTTTGTGCATTGATGAAGTTCTATGAAAATAATGTCTTTGCTAGTAGAGAAGTGCACAAATCCACAGTATCTTCATCTTGCGATTCCTTAACCAGTAGACTGCTTTTCCTTCTTTCTGAGAGAACATAGTGCAGCATTCCCAACATAGACAGTGTAATGGGATGGTGGAAATTATAGCCTGTCACATCTGCAATTTGGGAAAGGCTCACAATAAAAGGCAATCCTACAAGTGAATTCTAATTAATTATTTACAACGTTTACACTGAACTTTAAAACTGCTCTGAGGGAGGGATTCTATTTCACTCATTCTGCTTTTCTGTCAGGGCCCTAGGAATGCCAAGACCCTTGGGATCTATTAAAACACCCTCAAGCTACTTTATAGGAGAGTTTTACATAATGTATAAACTTGAGGGGATAGGACCAGCGTTGTGCCAGTCGATATTCACTCGCACATTGGGACTTTCCCTGTTTTTATTCACCCTGCACCTCTCCACACCACAAAAAATATGCCCCGGAGGGTTTCCAGCCACTGTGTCTTCTCCGAGTTCTGTTGACAAAATTGCTTCCCTCATTGGAAGAAAGTGATATATCCAACCAGAGGTTTCTTCCATCAGTAGAAATATGTCCCCTTTGTCATTTTCTGTATTTGATTTTTTACCTCAGCTAAGTAACAGTTTGTGGGACATAAACCATTTATCTAAGATTTGCTACCTGGACTTTAAAGCATATTAAATAGATTGTGCATTAAGGAATTTGTGAAGGAACAACACAATAAAAACATCTGTAGACCAAATTCCTTCCTGGTGAACATAACACGTGCTCATAAAATAACCCTGTCTTCTTACTAGCTGCACACATGCATGTATGCACACGCACAGGCGACCCTGAGTGGAGGAGGTTGCATTTGTCAGTGCTAGAGAAGAAAATGTGGCTCTTGCTCCCACAGGGCTGTGGGCACATAAAGGGGCTTAAAGGCAGCTTTCCACCTCTTGGAACCCTCAACCACATTCTTGGTACAACAGCAACAAATGTTGTGCTTTACCACCTAGTTTTGTCAGGATACCATTACCAAGGCTTCAGGATAACAAATTTAGCTCAGAAGCATGTATTACTTTCGCAACTGCTGCATTGCCAGATTTTGGCAGCAGAAACCACACCAGGGAACAATTTCTGTGTGTTCCGTACACCTGCTCTAAACCATCAGTCTATTACAACTAAGTGCCAGTCTTTTTTCCAAGCTAGTCAAATATTTCTATAAATGTTGGTAGGATTATGGCAACAGAAATGGTTGCATTATTAGACTTAAGCAAAGACTTGACATATTATGTAAATTACCTTGTCAGATTCCTTGTGAAAAGACGCAACAAAACAGTTTGTGTTAAATAGGCATGACTGATTTCCAGTTTTTCATAGCAACATTTGTCAACATTTCCTGTCTAACCCTCCTTTTGTATTTCCACTATAAACAATGTTGTCTTTTGTGTGTGTGTCCCTCCCCTTCCTCTGAATAGACCTGTCTTAGCTATTGTGGAAGTGGAAATCCAAGAAGTTGATGTAGGTGCTCGTGAAAGTGTTCTTCAAGAAGTGTCCTCTTTTCAAGGACCTCTGGATGCTACGGTAGTGGTGACTTTGTTGGCACCAGCCCCTGAAGAAAAGGATGAATTTCCTGAGGACTTGCGTACTGAGCTAATGCAAATCTTTGAGACTTACGGCATCGTTGTGCTGGTCAGGTAAAATACTATTCTCATTAAAAAGCTCTCCTATGAACCGCCTTCCAGAGTAAACAATTAGGGTCTAAAACAGTAAAAATGGAACAAGTACTGCAGAACTGAAAACAACTTAAATTCGGACAGTGTTAATTGTTGAAAGTATTTCAATGTGTAAATACTCCATCAATAATAATTGGAAGGTATTTCAGTGCTCTAGTAATCTGTGCTTTTTAATTTAAGCATCACTGTACTTAGTAAATGGTTGTTGCTAAATGCTTGTTGTATGTTTGTCTGATGAAATGACTCATGAGATAAATCTCCAAATCCCTTAGAGATTTGGTCAGACAAGCTTGAGAGATGGCCCTGAAGTGGTATTGTTGGAAGACTAAGGCATTCCTTGACCATTTTAAATGTGCAGGCATACCTCTTGTATTCTGGGTACTTCTCTGAATTTTGATGTTCAGTGGATTTAACCCTAATTCAAGTGAGACTGGGTGGTAACACTGTGTTCTCAGCTGCCTCAAGGAAGCAACTTTTAATGGCATGCTCCACAGTAATCAAGGTCAGGCTACCTGTGAAGCTTAGTAAATCTCCCGCCTTAGGCAGGGATCAGGAAGGGTGGCAAATCCTATCCTTTCTCTGCCAGAGTCCTGGTGCCTCTGCATAGGCGTAGGATAGGCAGATACTCCAGGCAGAACTGCTGGCCACTTTTCCTGCTATGGCAAACAGTGCAGCAGGAAAGAGGTTGTTTATGGGTCTTTGGAGCAGCTGCCAGCACTGCCGCCACCACTACCACACACCCTATGCCCCGCTCTAAGCATAAGTGGGCAGCTGCCATGCTGAGCCACAGCAGATACAGTGACGTGACCCTGGAGACTGAATATGCAGCTACTGCACAAGTGATCATCAGGCCCATCAATGCCTCTCCTTGACAAAGCACCTCTCAAAGCAAGGTATCAAGGGTCAGGCATAAGGTGAGAGGCAGAGGTGATGCTTCCCCACCTTCCAACAACAGTGCATGTCAGGGACTCATGCTCTCCACTCCCAGCAAACTGGATTGTTTATAGTTAAATAACCCAGAGTTAACCCAGTAATTACCCATGGTTTGTTCTTGGGTTAAGATTCTGGGTTGTTTGGCCCTCAGCAAGCCAGAGTTCTGAATACAGATGTCACATGAAACCACCCAGAAACTAAACATTCCTGGATTATTGATTAAACCAACTTCGGAACATAAATGGTGAATGCATAGAAGTCACAGCCCTGACAACCCATGGTTTAAACAATTCATAGATTGCTGGTACTTGTGAACTAGGTCATTGAGTAGATCATCATATCGGTCACTGCAGTGTGCTAAAGAGGAAACGGTTTATATTACCTACAATTTATTATTTGGTATCTGACATTACAACTGCACCTGAGACCTACTGTGCTCTTTTCCACTAAGCCCCTGACCCTTGATACCCAGCACCCCTTACACTTAGGTTCAGGTTCAAGAACCACTGGGTTCACATGGCCTGGAAAGATAGGGAGACTATTAAAAGAGAGAGCAACATCAATTGAATTTAGAAGCTCAAGTTGCTCAAGGCAGCCAATGCTGCCTTTTAAAGCTGTTGCAGAATTAGTTCCTTGCAAACTCAGAGTTGGAAGGAATGATCTGGAGGTCCCTTGGAATATCACATGTACAAAAGAGAGAGTGGGGAGCAAGTGGTAACCTGGGCGTCTAAGCCAATAATGAAGTGTAAAGTACTATTCATCGATTGCATTTGTATCTCACAGTGGAAGAAGCTCAGGTTCAGAGGCCTTGGAATACCAGTTGCTGGAGAGAGGTGCTGTGCTTGTGAGCTTCTTAGAGGCATCCAGTTGCCACTGTGGAGATGAGGATGTAGGCCTTTGGTTCCAACCATCCATCATAGCTCTTATTATGAGATAGACAGATTTCCAGTCCAAAGGTTACATGTGAAGTATTGAACAAAAATATCCAAGTCACTCATGTGGCTTCTTCTCTTCCTTCCTTCTGTTTAAATGCTGAATCTGCTTTCTCCTTTTTAAAGTGAGAAAACATTATGTGAATTAACTTTGAGATTGTCCTAGAGCAACGGGTATTTGGCCAGGTGCACGTACAGAATCATTCACTCTGATGAACTTTATAACATCAATCCCAAATATGTTTGAGGCAGTGATGCTATCTATAAGGTTGAATTCAGAAAGTAATAGAAATGTGTACAGTTGATTTACCACCTTTTTGTTTTTTGGTATTCTTGTCAGGATCAATGGAGGTCAAATGCTGGTTACATTTGCAGAGAGCAGGTCTGCTCTTCATGTACTTGATGTAGATGGCATCAAGGTAAAGAAAAAATGTATCCACATGACTGTTATAGACACCTGAGTGCAGAAGTAGCATCTAAGCTGATAGAGAAGGTTCACATCCACTATTCTCTTTGATTTCATTGAATGCAAGACATTTTAGAGACATCATTTCCTATATAGAGGAGACATTTCCCCACGTGCCAGCTTGTCATTTCAGGTTGACCAGTTTTTTAAAATGTCAGCTACTAAAAGGGGCTCCAGAGAAATGCTCAGAAAATGGTAAGCTGATAGACCTGACAACAGTTCAAACAAGGATGGCTCCTGTTGTGCCTTAAAGACTGAATTCATTTACTGTGGCATGAGCTTTTGTTGGGCGAGAGCCTACTTCACCAGATGCTCACGTCACTGTAAATTCATTTGCCTCCGATGTGCCATGCATGTGCGGCCTCTGCAACCCTTGCTGTGTTTGCTGTGGCAATTTATTTTACTATTCTGAATGGATTCTGCAGTGACATTTTGCTGAATGAACTTCAAGGCTTCTCGAGTTTCAAGAATATTAATGATGTGTGCAAGAATGGATTGAATCAGTGCTATCTACTTGGCCTTTGAAAAGGAGGTTATGTTCCTCCATGGAATGCTGTTCCAAAAATTATTCTCATAACATAAAAAGGAAAGCACAGAGGTACTGGCAGATTGGCAGGAGATGCAGGGCAAATATTTGGAACTAAATGACATTATATAATTGAAGCTGGTTCCTGGATGTCCTGAAGCTAGATCCTGGATGAACCTGGATGTCACTATCACGTGCTTCTGCCATCCAAAACATGCTGGTAAGATGGTAAGATAGTATAAACCTGGAAAAGAGACTGAAGGAGGTTGCAAGTGTTAGTAAGGTGTGCAAATGCAGAAAACACATTTCATTTGCTTTTCCTGTATTCACTCATATGATTCACTTTTGAAGACGAAGAGTAACAAAAATCATCAGGTGTGTGCAGCATCTTCGATACAAGGAAATGTTAAAGAAATTAAGTCTGCTCTGCTAAGGAAAGAGAAGTATTGACAGAAGATGTGGCTGAAGGTGTAGTTTTGCAAGTAGTTCAAATCATATGAACTAGGAAGTGAGGCTTATGTTTGCCCATCACAGCAGAACACTTGAGAGAACTTAACACATCTTAGCAGGTGCTTTAAAGGGAAGTGATTTAATGTCCTGGCCCATGGGTCTGCATCTCCTTCATCCATTTTAAGTAAGGATTGCCAAACAAAACAAAAATCAACGAGTACTCAAAGGACAAAAAGTGTAAGATTCCACAAAGAATTTGGGCCATCTATCAATTGTTTGGGGTTTCCTTAAAGCAGCTGGCATTTAGGAAGTGCAAAGACAGAAAATAATACTATATCCATACCCTATATTAGTCCTATCAAGTAGCTGGGCTTGGCAGTGTCAAAAGCAGGATACTGGCCTGAATGGTTGTCAATAGAGGTCTACTTTTATATATCATCATAATGTATGTGTGGAACAAATAATAAATCAAGTAACTATTAACTGTTAAGTTAGTCAATCAAGAGTTCCAGCTATGCCCTTTATCATGTATAGTTGAAACCTTTTGTCTTTTGATTACTGAACAGAATGTCGCCTTACATTGTGTTGATGCCCAGGTCTCATTTACACATAATAGTTTGATTAATCAAGTGAAAAATAATTGATTCTTTTTGTGGGCATCTTTGATGCAGATCAATGGCAAGACTGTAAAGATTTGGCCTAAGACCAAAGACTGGCTGAAGGGTCTCCAGGAGGAAATTGCTAGGAAACGAGACAGCATCGCCCCCATGTCACCCACGGCAAACTCCTGCCTACTGGAGGAAAATTTTGATTTCTCGTGTTTAGATTATGAATCAGAAGGTATGTGGCATAAGCTGTACATGGAGCTCTGACTGGTCAGTTCTTGGCTTGGCACTGCCTCTGTGTGTATTCTTGATTGGTATCTTAGGAATCAGGAAAGTAACCAATGATGCTTTGATGAGACCTGCAGCACTTTGTGGCCTGGTTTTTATGTCTTGTCTAATTGTGAATAAGTGGGAGTAGACATGTTGGCTCCCAGCAAACTAATGCTCCCACTGAATTAAGCAAAGCAGGAATGATCCATCCTCAGATTGCTTGCTTGCTTGTTTGTTCATTCACATAATTATATGCCAGCTATAACTGCCAGAATGGCCTCCCTAGGCAGCTCACACAATAAAACTACACAAAACAATTAATAAAATTAAAAGTCATAAAACAGAACAGTATTATAAAATCAGTAAAGGTCCACAATAAAGATTATTGTGACATCCAACCCTGTAATTGGAAAGGATTGGGGGAAGGACAACCTGGACTCCTAAGCCATGGCTTGCTCTTAGGTTACTAGTCTAGGTTTGTCTTCCCCAACCATTCTGAGCTCACATCTCATGATACGTAACCTAGGGATGCAGAACCTTTGCATCTCAGTTTTTCCTAGCTGCAGCTCCTCCTGTTGCATTGAGAGGTTTTTCAGAAGGAACTTGTTGGGCTGCATGCTAGGACCACTTTCAGAGGAGGGGGCTCAGCAGCACTGGTGCATATGTGGAAGCGTCTCATGTAGCCCTTCGGAACCAGATCTAAGTAGCTATGCCATCTCCTTATCTATGCTGTCTGTGGAAGAATACTGCCTCATATCTCTTCTAAAAGATACCTTTCTTTTTGGCAGAAATTATAACAAGAGTAAGGAAATAAACAGAACGTATTCCTGTTCTCCCATTTGCCCACCAATATTTACTTTGTTTTAATCTGACATAGGTGATATCCTAGATGATGAGGATGATTATTTGGATGACATATTGCCTCAGTTAGCTCTTGCAACAGAAATGCCATTAGCCGTGGAAGAGTTGTTGGATGGGCCTGAATATTTGACAGCGGCATCCACAGAACATGCAAACAAATCTCACTTTGCTGGAAGGAAGTTGCATTCACAGAAAGGTAACCTTGGTTATTTCTTTATAGGTGGACCAGGAGTAACCATAGTAATAAGACCCATTCGAAGCAAGGTTTTGAGGCATGCCTTGCTATATGAAGGACTGTTGGTGGGGGGAAGGTCCAGTTTTCCTGGTCATGAAAGTACATGTTCATTTTATGTAAATTTAGCTCATTCATTTATACTTAGCTTAATTCATAACTAAGCATGTTTTGCTTGTGCTGCATTATGTAAACCTGGAAGCATATAACACTAGATGAAAATTTATTTATGTAACCAGAATTTCAGGTAAGAGCCTGCTAGAAGTCAGCCAACAAACTGCTACAGGCTTTAGAGCCAAAAGCCAAGCTTAGGGAGAGTGAGGATACATCTTCTGGAATTCCAGTGGGGCCAGCCCAGGCTGCAGCCATGTGGCATTCCTCCCATAATCCCCAGCCAGCACCACTAAGTCTTCTGGTAAAAAAGAAACCAGACAATGACCGTGCTGATGAGGAATTATGAGACTTGTCGTCTGACACACCTGGAGGGCACCAGGCTGAGGAATGCTGTTTTGGGGGATTTTTGTTATTCTATTTTTTGATTATTTGTATTTTTGAAAATGCTCCTTCTTCCTGGTGACTTATATTGGCATTGCCTTTGGTTATTAACAATAAAAGCTGACAGACATAATTACATACCTCAAATGTAATTGAACATGGAAATCAATTCCATTGCAGTCATTTGTCAAAAGCCACTTTTGGCATCAGACAACAAATGACTACTTGACATTGACCAGAGCAGCTTTCCCCAACATGCCCTTCAGACACTTTGGATTTCACTTCCAAGCAGCCAAGCCAGCACATCCAATGGTTAGGCATGCTGTAAGTTGTAGTCCGAAACTTCCAGAGGCTACCAGGTTGCAAGAGGCTGGGGCTAGAGTCTCTTGAGTCTGCTCATCTCTGTCTCCTTCATCATGTCCCAGCAGTGTAGTTCTTGTGCCACATGCCAGGGCATTCATGAATAACCACATGCGTGCTTTGTGGGAGTTACTATCCATGCATTCCGTTTCAGAAAGAAAGCTGTGTCATTGTGCCTTTAGAGCAAGCCGTGTGGCCCAAACCCCTGACACAGAAAGCTCCTGCATTTCAGGAACACCTGCACAGTGCAAAGGGGAGCTTGCCACCTGTAGCTAGCTGTTCCCCCATAAGAAATGTCAGGTAATATCCAGGCTTTCTATTCATACAATTCCGTGTTCCATGTATAAATGATTTCTGGTGTGTTTCCCAGATGATACTGATCTGGCTGAACTAAAACCAGAGCTAGAAGGAAATGGGGAGCCTTGTCGTCGTTCCCCTAGCAGGTCTCTCTCTGTCCCTGGGAGGCCTCGCCAGCCTCATCCTCCACAGCGGCCTCCTCCTCCAGGTGAGTGTCCATGTTTTTGCTTCCTCTGTGCCAAAACCTTTCTGACATCTTTTTTTTTAATCAGGCACCATCCACAAACTGGCAAACTGATCGTCACAATCATAAGGTCTGGAAACTTGCTTTAAAAAGATAGAAAAATGAAGCTTTTGATTCTTGGAAAGCCAACATCTATGTCCCATACCATCTTCTTTAATTTTCAGCAGCCTTGTGGAGTCACAATAGACACATAGTGCGGACATTAAATTCTGCCTTGAAGCTGATGACACTTATGCCCATGTACTTACATAAAGATTGAAGTGTTACACACATAAATCTTTACAGTTTTAGTCTTATGTCAGCAGCCATCTGTAGAACTTACTTTTGAGTGCATGGGACTGGGTTATTAATTGCCTTTGGTATTTGGCCTCACGTTTTAGATTAGCAACTGATTCTTTTATTCCGAGTGAAGATTCTTTCCTTTAAGTGGAAAGATACTGTTCAGCATTTTCTCATTGTCACTGTCCATGTAGTTGACATTCAGTAAATTATGGCTATATGGCAGGAAAGAGATGGGGGAGCTTTTGGAGAACCGTCACACTTTCTAGAGGAATCATCCTATTGATCTATTGCAGCAAAAAATAAAACATGTTGCTACAACTTAAAAACTAGTAAATTTATCAGGCTGTAATAAATTTGTTAGGCTGCAATTCTATGCATGTTGAGATGGGGGGAAAAGACTTACAACTTCCAGCATTCCCCGGCCCTAATTTTTTGTCTAAACATGCATAGATTTGCACCCTTAATCTCTAAGGTATCACAAGACTCTTGATTGTTCTTTAAGAATTTTGCTCATTAATCCAGGGTGGGTAACCTGTGGCCCTCCTATCAGCCTCAGTCAACAAGGCCAGTCATCTGGGATGATGGGAATTGTGTTTCAATAGCATCTGGTGGGCTTTAAGTTCACTGCTTCTGATTTTCCATAAAGATGCCACTTTAGTGGAGCTGCAGGTCACTGAAGCTAAATCCCAAATGATTTCCCTTGAATTTTTCTGTAGAAAAGTTATTACATCTACAACTACAGAAATGCTTAGATTTCACTTTTTCATATGCTTCTTTTTGTTCCTTTTTTAAAGAAAAAAATTAAAGATCCCAAAGGGTTTTAAGATTTACTCTAGCATTAACCAGATAGCCAGAACTTCCTCCCCCCACAAAAAAAAGTCAGCTGCTAGTATTTTCACTTTGTGCATATGCTTAAACTGGTTATAGCTCATGTGTCCATGCTAAGGATTGCTAATCACAACCACAACTCACCATTTCCCATGTGAGAGACTCCAGGTTGCATGTGTGTGCTTCCTTCACAGCCACCCATCGCCAGATTCTGCTCAGCTGAGGGAAGCAAGATCGGCAGTTGCAAAGCCACTGGGTGATTTGGTGATGGTGGAAGCAGCAGCTGTGGGTTGATTTTAATTCTACTCCATATGTAGCCGTTTCCCCGCTCCTTAGAATCCCAGGCAGAGTCAGCCCACCCTTTCTGCCATTGCAAGCCAACAGAAAGCTTTATTGTTAGCCTTTGGTCCTGCTGGGGTCCACCTAGCTCTGCCCCACATCGTGTTCCATTCTCTGGCCCCATCCAGCTATCAGAATGCTTGAAATCTAGCATTGGAAAGGTATCAGCATTGGACTGCAGCATTTTCACTGTCAGCAGTTCCTTATACAACTCATGCATCAAACATTAGAAAAGTGTTCATGTTCCCTTTCCTGCAGCTCCAGTATCTGTTAAAAAATCCCCATCAGATGGATCTATTGCTTCATCAGGCCACTCCCTGTCGTCCATCCTGCAGACTGCAAAGCTTCTTCCAGGGGCACCGCAGCAACCAGTGAGTAGCTCCCCTCAGTTGTTCCAGCCATTAAAAGAAGACCATGCCAGACTTTAATGTAGACAGTATAGCACTGTGGTGTAGTACATAGTATTTGGCTAGGACGCTTCTATGAGATTCTGCAGTTGTAGAATAGCCATTACCTCAGGGATGAGAATGCTGAAAGGGTATTTGCAGCGATGGGCTGAAACATATAGACACAGATGCGTGTGAAGTAGCCATGTTAAAAACTGTTCACACAAAATGATCTTTCCAACATATGATGCTGATAAGCAGCTAACTATTGTGGTAGACTAAGAAACTGGGATGAAGGCAGTAACATGACGTAGTCATCCTAGTATCGTGGCCGATCCCAGTAAGTTGTGTGGCCTCAGTAGTGACATTAAGAAAGGATTGTGCAACAGCCCTGGTTTGCCAGCTACTGGTTGCCTTAAGTAGCCAGTATCTGTAGGACCTTGCCCAGAATCTGACATTTGTGCCAGATTCCTACTTACTTGTTTACTTTGACCAGCAAACACAAAATATGGGGCCTTCTTGTTGGCGATCCCTCAGTTGTGGAACTCTCTTCTAGTTAATAAGGCTTCTTCACCTCTGGCATTCAAAAAAGTCTTCAAAACTCAACTTTCACTATTGCAATTTCTTAAGTGAAATTCCTAAAGAGTTTGTTTTTATGTCTGCAAATTGTGCGTCTGCTTATCTTTGGCCACTTTTTATTGCATATTCCATCTAATGTTGCATTATTTGTATTTTTAAATGAATGGATGAGTAAATAAAAATACTTGTACTGCTGGCAAGATGAACCATGGCAGAGGTTCATTTTTCAACATATATTCCATTTATTATTAAAATTCTCAAAGCAGCATAAAATTTAAATCTCTACACCAAAACTACAAACAAAAACATTTCAAAAGCAGTACAATACAAATCAACAGCCAAGAATGCTGCTTGCTACATGCTTTGAGCCATTCACATTTGCCATCATGTGAGGGAAAGCCTTCTTAAGGCTCAGTCTTTGCCAGTTTCTAAATCACATAAGTGGGGTTTCTGAATAGCTTTGCCTGGGCACAGAATTCCAGACACCTGGTGACCCTACAGTGCAGTGTCTGAAGCAGTCGCCCTACATAGCTCACCTTGGGAAAATATGTGGGCAGAGTGGGAAAGAGGCATTCCTGAAAGAACAGCTTGCTTCCCATGGCAGGGCTTACTTTGCATTAATCCATGATCACTAGAAAAGAGCTAGTTGGTCTGAAAACAGTAAACTTCCTTTCATGTTTCCACCCTGTGTGTGTATGATGTTCTTCTGGGCTCATTCTTGCTTTTCTTGTGTTTTATTTTAAACTCTTGTAAGCCAAAATCACGGACTGGTATCAGTAAGCCATATAATGTCAAGCAGATCAAAACCACCACCCCTCAGGAAGCGGAGGAAGCCATTCGGTGTTTGTTGCAAGCAAAAGGAGGTAAGGCAGACTCAGCTTTCCACTAAAACGTTCACCATAACTGAGACTTAAGAAACATCTCTTTTAGGTGTCCACATCAAATTTGATTACAACAATAGTAATTTTCTATATAATAGAGTGTGGGAAGCACACTTCCCATTTGTCTCATAATAGCACTGGTCTTTTTGTTTTGACTTAAACTTATTTTTTCCTTTCAGCTAGACCTCGTTAATTCAACACATATGTTTTCAAATTTCATGCCAAAACTCTTACATTTAAGGAGAGACACTTAAGTTTCTACAGAGGGGTGTGTGTGCGTTAATGCACTATGTGAAAATGGTTCCACTAATTGAAATGGTTCCTGTTTGGCCTCAATTTGCCAGTATTGCAAAAGTGTTCCCTTACCACAGCAATTCTTAAATTGTGGTTTTCAGGCTGCTGGTAGTTTGCATGGTTTTCAAGTGATCTATAAGACTTCAAATAAATCCTTCTACATTCCTTTGTACTGAGCACATGGAAAAAAGAGGGAAATGTTTCTGGCTTTGTGCATTCTCCCTGTTATTGAAGCATCTGTCATCCAATATCGACACTACTATTCAGATCCAATTCATGGATTACAGATTCAGAAGGGAGACCACTTGAAAGTGTAGTAGTTGCTCCAGCTGGCAGCTACAATGTGTAAAGTTGCTCACCATAGCAAATCACCCATATTGCATAGCATGGCTCTGGGCCAGCAGGAAGTGCTTATGCCTGCTTTTGTCTATCATAGGAAGTAATGAATTACTTACTTGAATTACTGTTTATTATGTGCCTGAGCAGCATGGTTGTGTATGCAGCCTGTTCGTTTCTACTTTTATGCAAGCAGATGAACAAACTCAATAGCTGCAGTTAAGCACAGTTTCCCATGTCATATCAAAAAACTGAGGCTTTGGTTAATTACTCAGAGAAGTAATTCTGGATTCACAAGACAGCTTCAAGCCCTAGTTTAAAACTGACTACCAATGCTGGCTTGTTTGGGACTATTTAACCATAAATCTGGATTTCAGTGTGATGGGAAGCTATGCTATGTGTCCTTTTTGTTTGCTTATCTATTCACATGGAGAGAAAAGTGCTAATGGGTTGTGTGATTTTGGACATTAGCGTTTAATAATTTAGGATTCCTGGCTTCCTCTGACATACAAACATAGCGTATGATGTGACAGTGATACTCTTCTCATAATACGAGGATTTGTGAGTACTGTACAGTAGTATTGTTGATCAGCCAGAGACCTAATCAGTTTCTGTTTGCAAGACCCTCACAGGCCTATAGAAGCCACTCCATTGTTATATTATGACTGTGTTCTGGAAGACTGTTGGAATGATGGCTGTTACACGCCACTGTTGTAATGTGCATGACAGCTGTTCACTGTATTTATTTATGAAAAATACATTTATATGCTGACTTCTTTCCTCCCAGGAACCCAAATCAGCTTATTTGGTCCTCAATTGTATCCTTACACCAGCCCTGTGAGGTAGGTTAGGCTGAGAGTCAGTGACAGGCCCAGAGTCACCCAGTGAGCATCATAAGTGAGAAACTAGAACTCGGATCTCCCAAGTCCCAGCCCAACACCATTACGCCACACTGGCTCTTGTTCTGGTTCCTTTCAGGACTGCAGTGATTTTATTACTGAGTGTGGGCTGTATGGCAAGCAGAATTTATATATATTTTTCTTATAACTTAGGTTGAGTCTGCAGAGCTATGAGCCAAAGTAATCTTATGGGGAGATGAAATAATTTATTTCAGCATCCTCATCTACAGAGCAAAGCTGTACATTTATTATCTTAAAAACCCAGTTCTTGTCTTGATCTCATTATTGCTTCCTTTTTGCTTTTCATCTGGCTTGATCAAAGCAAAGAGTTGCACATTTTATTTATTTTTTAAAATAATCAGTATGGCTGTATAATGAAAGGTCCCTACAAAATCAGGTTTTTAAAAGTCATTTAACACGTTCGGTGCAAGGTATATGTCAAAACATGACATCAGAAGTAAGTGAGGCTTTTGGTTTGTCCAGGTCAGCTTTATTGGCTGCACTGACTGGCAGCAGCACTCCAGCATTTTCAGGCAGGGATCTTCGCCAGGCCAACCTCTGGAAATGCCAGAGATGCTTGGCCCTGTCCTCAGCTTCTCCTAATGTACATAATTAAATAGGAAGTCCTTAAATCGGCACTACTTTTATTCATTTATCACAAAAATTACAAATGCCCATTAGTAGGAAGCTTCATAAATTCTCATGTTGGCTGTCCATTTTCAGCCCAGAAAGTGCCAAGTCACAATGGATAAAAATGGTACCTTGAATGGACCTGGTATATTACTGATTACTGCCATTTGTGTTTCAGTGACACCAGAGGAAGTGCTGGCACCCATTCCAGTAAGAACGCAAACTGCCATAAAGCCTGAGACTTTCCTCAGTGTTCCAAAAGCAGCACCACTTCAAAACCTGCAACCAGCCCCAGCGTTCATACCTCAGCGACCGCCACCAAAAGTTCCAGCCACTAAGAAACCAGTACCCTTGCAGAGGATAGGAGGGAAGCCAGTACGTATATCTATGTCTTAGTGTTATGCTCTTCACCAGCATAAAAGAATTCCTTGATACAGCCTATAGGCTGTCAACTTTCCAAAGGCATGTCTGGGGTGTGTATGTGCAATCAGTAATTCAGCAATTTTTTGGTTGGTGCTGAGCTGAAGGTTGAAGGTTTTACCTGTCAAACAACATCCCTGCAGCATTCCTTATTGCATAACAGTCTTTAAGAAATGCTAGTATTATGCCTGCATGTAGAAACAAAGGTATGACAGTCAAAACACATCAGGTTTCCTCTAGGATGTATATACCTGTTCTGAATATGTCTAAGCAAACTGTTTTTACCATGGGAACAGATGTAGCACCCATAAGAAAAGATTTAAATGTACCAATACTTGCTTTCAAAAGCATTCTGCTCATGCCTTCCACTTTCCTTTTGACCATAGGCAAAGTTGCTCAAGAAAACCAAGATTCTATTGAAAAAATACCAGTTTCATGCACAGAATTATGATTATCTGGAACATTTGAACACTGTTTTGCTGAACCTTGCAGGTTCATTGTTTGTTTGTATTTTTAATAAGAGATACCATGGAGGCTGAAGGAGAGCTGTAGCTACTTAGGAATCATAAAAAGGGTCAGGTGTATAGGCTATTAGCTGGGCTGGTCCTTCCATGAGGGACAGCGAGGTAGCTTCCTTCAGCAGAGGAAGTTGGGAAGAGCAGAGCAGTTGTAAGATGTTGGCATACTTGTCCTGCACCCACCACGCTAGTCTGCTACCCTTAGATTCAGTGGTAGTGACCAGTGAGGCTCAACTGCTGACTGGCCCAGTCCACTTCTGTATGTGGCATCACCTTGTCCTTTACCTCATCTTGGACTGTCCCTGAAGTAAACAAATGGGACCTGAAATGTTGCTGTACTTCCCTATTGCCCAAGAGTATTGTTCTTGTTCAGGCACTTCAGTCAGCCTGGACCAAGAACATTGTGATGTTCTTCCAATCTCTTTGGAATAAACCTGCCCAGACAATGAGATTGCTCTCACAACCATTTTTATATCTATAAGTCCATTCCTCCATTTCCCAGAGAAGGAAAGGACACTGGAGAAAGAGACAAAAAAGGAGGAGGAGAGTGGAAGGTTGTATTTATGCTTTCTTCACTGGTTGTCCGCATTTCGCTTCCCTTTCACCTGTGTGTCATTCTGCCCCCATCCCCTGGGCATTCCTTTCCAATTGACTGCCAAGCATGCACAGTCTGCCTGGGCTGCCTGGAGAAAGATCCCTTCCCTTAGATTAGGTTTTTTTTTAAGTTCCCTATAAGTTTTGCAAATCTCCAGAGTCACCTAAGCATACAGTTGTTCTCACAGTTTAAACAGCAAGAGCTAGAAAGTTACTAATTTTAAATAGGTGGATTTTCTTTAATAATCCAAGTTTATTGGATTATTACAACCAAGTTGTACAGCTGCTATACAGACTATTGCATGTACAGAAACATAGAAGGCCAACAGTCTTTCAGCTGATGGTGGGGTAAAAATATAATAAACAAATAAATTTAACGCGAGTCAATAACACATCAACCTTGCTTTAACATGCTAAAGCTAACTTTAATTGTGGGGAGAGCGGGAAGGGAATGCAATTGTGCTTTTCTTAACCATTTCCCCGTTCCTAGTGAAAGGCTGATTGATTTTAATCTTGTCATTTTTTTCTTAGCCCCTGTCTCCAGAAGAGCCACTTGAACCATCAACAGGTCACCTCTCCTTCGCGTTGCCAGAATTTTGCCCTGAAGCTGGAACTGTTACTAGTCCTACAAGGGCCACGCCTGTTCCAAAGCCAAGAACAATGACCCCTGGCAAAATCCTCGAGAGGAGGAAGAGCACAGAAAGGCAGCCAGCTGCACTTTGTCTTTTCGAGGAAAGTTCTAACATTCCTTCTCAGAACTCTACCTACACTCCAAGAGTTCCGCCAAGGAGAAAGAAGTCTGCTCCTGCTGATTTTCACCTGCATGTACTCCAGAGCAGTGACAGCCTATTTCTTAAGGGTTTAACTTTTAATTCCAATAATAACAACAGTCCATCAGAACTCTGTTCTGTAATACAGGATTCTGATGCCTTGCCACTTTCTCCTGGTGAGTCCTCTTTTCCAGCAACAGCAGTCATGGCTAGCTCAGAAGGCAAGAGCTCTAAGCTCTTGAAGCCCACTGCTTCAGAGTTAACTGGTGGCCAGCAAGCGCCTCCACTCTCTCACAACCAGCAACAGCAGCTTTCAGACAGTGCTCATCTTATGGGAAACACTACCAGTCTGTTAGACCTGGAAGTTGACTTTGCTGCGTATCAGCCAGTGACTCAGCCATTGCCAGTAAACCCAGTGAATGATCCCAAAGATTCAAAACCTTCCAGTCCAAGAGATTTCAGTCACTGGGTTACATTTGGTGAAGATGGCAACAGTGACACTTTATCTAAAAGTCCTGATGAGCAGCTTGCTGTCAAGCAAAATCAAAATGCCTGTGTTGACATGGGCTCCAATTTACTATGACCCCATTTTCTTGTCTTTTCCTATAACCACCTCATCATAATACTGGCAGTCCCCGGGTTACAAACAAGTTCCATTCCTGAGAAAGTAGAAACTCATCTTTAAGTCAGATCATGTATAGTCAGTCCTCTGCATTCACAGGCGTTAAGGGTATAGGACCCCCCGTGAAAGTGGAAAAACCACAAATATCTCTAGCCCTGCTGCACACCCAAACTCACCAGTGCCTCCTCTTTGCAACAAGGAAATGCTGGAGATTTTCCTCTCCAGATGGGTGGGGCAGGAAGGCATGCTTTGGAGGTCTTCCTCTCTATCCTTTTGCATCCTCCATCTCTGATGTTTTGGAGGCCCTCTCTATGGTAATTATGATTTTCTGCAGTAATTTGTTTAAATTAAAACCATTAATAAGACGTTATGACAGTTTGTTCGTAAGTATGGGTTGTTCTTAACTTGGACGTTTGTAACTCAGGGACTGGCTGTAATGGAGTCCGTTTTATTTTCATTGTTTTGCTACTAGAAACATTAAGTTCAGCAAGACATGTATGGTACATTACACTCCTTCCACTGAATTCTGATTCAGCACATATAGTAAATTCAGTGGCAACTGGGTTTTTTTGGGGGGGGTGTTTTTGTTTTGTTTTGTGTGTGGTTTTTTTTAACTTGTGCACATTGTAACTATTCCTGCTGTAATTATTCCATGTTTGCACTTTGCTCATTTTCTGTACTAGGGCTGGTTATCCCATATTTTCTTTCAATGAAAATGGTAACACAGAGGATTCTCTTATTATGCATAGAAAAGTAGACAGACAAAAGGCTGAGGAAATTTCTCTGGAAACTCAACACTTACTAGGAAGGATGCCCTACCAACCATATTGGAACTTCTTTCTGAGTAAACATGCTTAGGATCACACTGCACTTCCTGGAATTGTCAACCTCGACCCCTTTCATGTTTTCTAAACATCCACAAACTGAAGAAAAGAGTTTAAAAATATATGCAGCTATCTCAATCTAACGAGCACTCTATTTCAGTGTGAAGGAAAAAAAAGTAGCTATTGATTCTACATGGAGGTAGTAGCATGTAAGAATGTGGAGGTTGATGTAAAGCCTGATTTAGAAATGGTGTAGGAACCAAGTATCAGGAATTGCCATTCATACAGGAGGCCAGAATAATGCCTCAGCTAAGAGACAGAAAATGCTGGCGAGTTCCTCACACCTGGTTTTCCTAATATATCAATCTGTTGCTGTTTTCTGTTGCAGTCAAGTTCTGTCTAACTTAGAATGAGCAAGACCACATTGTCTTAGGGCAAGAAAGGAAGAGAGCCATAGGAAGAACATAAATATAAAATGTCAGAGGCATGCATGAGGGTCGTCTCTGAACCAGAGTTTCCATGGCTTTCAGTCTTTTGGAACTACAGTCCCAAGAATGGAACCCGCCCCAGTTTAAAGCATTCATTGGGGCTATTGATAACATAATGATATGGTTTGCACAATGTAAGCTACCAATGTACCTGAACCTGGTCCAATTTCTACAAAGACGGCTTATTTTTCACACACAAACCACTCTGAGAACTTGTGACTTATTTTAGGATTGTTAATACTGCGGTGATTTGTATTTTTTGATCCCAACAGGGGCAACTTTATCATGGGTTATCAGAAACGGCTTTAGAGCCTTTTAGAGTGGCAAAACCCCATTTCTCCTCATGATCTCACACACCATCTTCAGCTTCCATTGCCAGTAACTGTCCGTCTACTAATGCCATGAAAAGGGGTAGTGACTTGGAGCATGGAGAAGGTAGCTGGGACCAGAAGTCAAGATGGATCTAGTCACAAAGGTGTCTGGGGTACATGCTGAAACCAACAGGACAACTGAGGGGGAATGAGAGGGAGAAAACACCACAGCTAACCCAATTGTCTATGAGGAATAGTCTGGGTTGTTCAGTGACTCATCAGACCACAGTGGCATTTCACAGCAGGATGTGCAAACACGCCCAGTAGTGTGCATTAAAGGCAAAGTAATTAATTTAAATACTTAACTAAAAAGGTACCATACAAATTCACCTGTTGGACCCACCCAGTGAACATATAGCATCTGGTGTATGTGCAAAATCGGTAATTTATTTGGAGGGCTGAATCACACTTGATGAAATGCAAAGATAATGTTTTAATGTTAATTGTTCCTAAATAGTAACATCATATTAAATAGTAGGCCTGGTAACATGTATTTTGCAGTATCCTTTTTGTATTGAAGATGTGAATAATATTAAAATTCTTTTTTTTTTTAAGAAAAGGACTTAGTTTAATTCTTATTTTCTCCAAAACCAGTGGTTCAAACATTTAAATGTGGGTTCTATTAATCAGAAGCTTACAAAACTAAGTTAAGGACCAGAATCAGATACGTAGTAGTTGTGCAACATCCATTACAGTGGTTCCTTGTGAGTCTAAAAAGAAAACAAACCTATTAAAATCCTTACAGAACCCTCACTGCTTAGCATTCCTGTTTAACAACATATGCTGTCCTTGCTAGATTGAGCCAAAGGGTCATCCAAGTTCAGATTTGCCATTCCAAGAGTGGTGGTTCCAGAAAGTTCACAAATAAGGTATGATCACTATCTTTGATACAAAATTGGGGTGTGATGTTAGAATTAAAGATTGTCAGCAACCAGAAAATTAAATATTAAGGTTCCCCACTTCTGTCAGTATCATGCAATTACATTGCCAGCCAATTGATGACAACAGCCATGCACAGGCAGGGCTGCCAAAGTCTTATTTCTGGACCAGGACTTTGCTCAGAAAAGTTCCTTCACTGTATTTTTCACTTATCCTTTTCAATTCTTGCCACCTAAGCAACAGGCAAAGTCTCAAGAGGCAATACTCTTCAGCACAAATGAAAAGTGGGTACATAGAAATTGCATTTTGTTTACCTCCTGCTGGATAAATGCAGAACTCTAATACTTTCCCTTTAATAAAGAAATCAGAAGTGTCAGTATTTATGGCTGCATGTCGACATAAAACACAATGCCTTTTTTAAGAAGCACAGCTTATTGTTACTGGCAATATTCTCTGCCACAAAGATAATTTAACAGCTTTGTGGCAGATCATTTGCATGATAATAAAAGCATTAGAAGGCAAGCTAATTTAAGTAGATTTATAAATTGCAAATTAAAGTTATTCTTATTGCTCCACTTGAAGTACTATCTGGCCTTCAGCACTATAGCCTACAACGGTGACTGGCAAGTTGCCACATTAAAACTTATATCTTTCCAGTGACATCCTCTATGCAATCAATTGCACCTGATGCCACTCAGTCCAAACAAATAAAAAAAGCAACAAGACTATCTAGTCCAAGTGTCGTGCGATACAATTAGTTCCCTTAAGTGGCTGATCTTTTTCAAAATGTTTTCCTGACTGGATAAGCCAGAACTCCATGTTCCAATCTGAATACTGCTTTAAGATACAATACTAGAAAAACAGAAAATGTTTGAAATCATTGCAGGGCATAGGATTAAATTTCATTTTCATGGCTGTTTCTTACTGAAAGAAACAGAACCTTAGCTTAGTACCAGTTCATCTGCTCACCACGCAAGAACACACACACATTACTGCAGCACTAAGTGATGCTTTGCATTTGTGAACCATTTACCACCACAGCAGCTTAGAATAACCTGGTTTGAACAAAACAGTATCTCCCTGTGCCAAAATAGCCACAGTGGGTTCTTGCAACATCCCAACCCAGACAGCTTCACTCACAGTGACTGCTCTGTTTTTGTTTTTTCTTTCAAGCAAGCCACACCGAGAAACCATGGGCTGTTCTAGGGTTTGTATTATACAAGTGGGTCATCATTTTATTCGAATTTTTGCAATTCTGACTATTATGGATAAAATGAAGTGGTAACTGGCATAAGGCAAGAATAGCAAAAAAGAAAACTTGCTTTTGGTGATCTCGTCCCTGTTGTTGACTGTGACAGCCCTTTTACAGTGCTCAACCAGCACAGTGGAGCTGCTGCTGCTGCTGCCGCCCACACCTTTGCTCCCCCCACCACAAATTGTATTCCGATATGAGCACTGTTTTCAAGCATTAAATGAAAAATATGCCCCCTTCAAACAATCAAATAAAAACACACACCTATTACCATGTCAAAATTATTTTAAAGCTAGTTGTCAAACATTTTTTTTTTCGTAGACTTTTGCTCTTTCCTGCAGAGCTAGTATCAGAGAGGAGGAGGAAAAAATACAGTCTACAGAGGACAGGCATAGCAAGAAACTCTTGCTACAAATGATAGAAAGGTTACCATCCTTTTATAGGCAAAGATTTCTATGCCTCTGGCTTCCCTTGAGAGCTCCACTTTTGACTGCTGTCAAGGGAAAACCAAGAAAATAAAATGTAATTCAAGTTTCTCTGGATCGATGTCTGCGGTTAGTACCTGCTGCATTTTGATAGTAGATTGCCTACACCCAGCACAATGGCTGAGCAAACACCTTTATTTCAGACTCACAGATGCATCTGTGTAGGTCCATATAGAAAAGACTCCACACACTGGAACATTTTTCAAAAATCTGTGCTCAACATTTGACAGCCCTTCCAATGTGCTACTTTACCGCTGACCAAAAAAGGAGGAATCAAAGAGGGGATCAAAGGGGGAAACAAAGCCACCATTAGCCCCTCCCCCCAAAAAGTCATGTGATCATGGCAGTGAGGGGGAGATTAGGTGGTATGGCCCCAGCATCCTCTGGGATACTGCCTGGTGGACTGAGGTGGAAGGAGGGGATAAATAATCCACAGCAAGCCCAGTCATCTGTCGGTATGTGGTAATTGTGAACCACAATTAATGTGGTAATTGTGAACCAACCAACCCACCATAGTTTGTCAGGGTGGAGTAGCACGATGTGCAAATACTCACAAATCTGGCTCAAAACATTTCACACACAAGCATTTTCAAGCAGCAGTGTATACACACAGCTATGAATCATCAAGTGTGGTAAAGTCTGTAGGCTTTATATTGCAGATACTGTGTTACCTTTAGGCACATAAAGTTAAAACTGCAGTTAAAAATCAAAAGCATTTTTAAAGCCTATGAACTGCATTTCATTTAGCAGCTTCTCCAGCACATAAACTTTTCTGACTTTATCTAAAAATGATTTAACTTTTGAATATATACACTTGCACACATGAAAGAGTTTAGTTTATTATTGCACAAATACTCTTACAGTATAAGCCACAAGCTATATTGGGGAGGGAAGTGCATACTTCAGATTGCTCCAAAAGCCATAAACACCTATTTTCTATACAGGGTAACAGGAGCTCATTACGATTAAAGGTTCCCTTTTTCCTGTAAAAGGTTTTCTGTGTTACATATACATTGGCTTAATTCAAATATGACAAAGTCAAGCCCTAGTTAAGGGAAGTTTTACTAAAGAAAGCAACAGTCCAAACCAAGGTTGTTTGGCAACTGGCAACTAGGTGGTTTGTGCTAATATGGTTTGTCATGATTTCAAACAGCCAAATTATCCTTGTGTCTGTTGCTTTGCTTCCAGAGATCACACCAACTTGAGATGGGAAGATTACGTGGATGAAACACACAATAGAGCATACTATTTTCCGCAAGGTTTTTCTGATAACCTGGAAAATGGAACTATGGCTTGTTATAATGCCTGAACTGAGAGTTGACCACAGAAGCGATTGTTCAAATCAATTGTTTAATATTTGTTTCCAAAATACTCAAATGGCAGAGAATTCAGAGGACAGGATTCTCCCCTTCTGCTTTCTTGGCATTCTGAAAATTACGGAATAAAATTGGCTGGGCTATTCATATGATCCTAGGATTAGGCTTAAGCCCTTTGAGGTTTAGATTTATTTAAATAGTGAACTCAACAACCAGGACAATGATGAGCGGTTAGACAACTCCCTATATGAACTCAACCTTTTATGCAGGATAAAAGAACAATTTTGAACTCCCCTTTTCTTTTACAGCTCAAGGCAAATATGGAAAAACTAATCACCATGGGGGAAAAAACTGAACCAAGCTTTTCAAAAAGCACTATAACTGATGTGTTTTTACTTAAAGCAAATGCAGAGGAACTTCTGTACCCTTGATTTTCCTTTGCAAAGTATTGCCTGGGTTTACAGGCTTAGTTGTCACTCCACTATTTTCCTCCCTTATTTACAAATATGCCCAAGCCTTTATCATGCCAGTGTGGTGTGCTTGCCATGAAAAGGCCTGGCACTTCTGGAAGGGAAGGTCTTTTGCTTATGATGAAAGAACAGATGCTCAGGAAGCTCAAGAAGCAGCTTCCTTATCAAACACTGAATAAGATGTCTCTTGTGTATTAACCTTCCAGATGAGCATTTGCAAGACAGTTAAAGGAGAACAAAAGCTGTCATGGTTTTTCTTTGTGAGATGTAGACATGCTGCATCTATGCTGTTTCATACATTAAATATACTCCAGAGATTTGCTGCTAGGAGATGTTACATTCAGTCTGACAGTAATAAACCCTTTTGTTGCAACTCTGCCAACCTACTTACACTTTCAGCATAAAAGTTAGAATCACATGATACCAAAAAACAATAAGCAAAGTGTTCCAGTTTAAATGTTTCCCAGTTCTCTTGCTAAGGTATCTTGAATAAACTTTAAGGTGTGTAGGTAGAGGAAAGAGTCCTTGTTCTTCGGTTTGCAAATATTCAGGTGACTAACCTCTACTGGAATGAGCTCTCCTATGCCTAAATCTGGAAGAGAAACAAAACCCATCAGCATTTGGCATCAAGGAAAGGATATACGTTCTAGAGTAACACCTCCCTGTGTGATCCTGTGGAGGGGCACAGTTCCATTTGCCATTTAATAGACAATTATCTTGGAATCAGGGCTTTATACAATTACATGTAACAGACCAACAATTTTTAAAATTTATCTTTTAGCCAGATTTCAGATGATACATGTGTACAGTGATCAGGCATACACTTTTTAAAAGTGCAGGAATACCTCTCACCATTTAGATTAGCTACAGTAATGATATGAAGAGCACAGCAGGTATGTTGAGTAAGCCTAATACAGTTCTAGAGTTTTGCATGTAAATCTCTGCTTTAACTATTTGAAGAAGAAAAAATCTTCAGGTGCAAAGGCTTAACCTTTTACAACCTGGGCCACATTTTGTACACACAGGCAGGAATAAATGAACATCTGCCAGGAGAGACTGGTGCACTACATTACAGAAAATATAACCACAACAGCATTGATACAATATAGGAAAACACCAGCTTTAACTTCAAAGATAAAGGGGTTAAACCCATCCTCCAACCCAACTGCTCCTGGAAAAATCCATTTTATTTAATTACATTGGAAACTGTGGGCTAGTGGAAATTACATTTATTGCGCTAGTGAGAATGTTCTGATATTTAATGCTACAATCCTTTAGTTACACGTAATTGACAATGAACAATGGGAAAAGGTTTCTTGAGACCTGGACTACAAGTATTATTAAACCACCTTTACACTAAATAGAAGTCAATCATTCTTTTGTCTGAAATATCATTTTTTAAATTACATTTTCAGTTGGCCTTTGCTTCTGGCTGTTTATACCACAAAACACGCCTATCTTGTTAGATTAATGTAGTGTAAAGGGAGCATGCCAAAGATGTCGCACCTGCAGATTCCACTGGTACTACATGGAGGTTCAGCATTCTACCAACACGGGTTGGCAATGTTTCTGCAAAGCTCAAGATAGGAAAGTTCTTATCCTTGGCAAATGAGAGAAAATCATCATTTAGTGCTTTGAGGGCAGGTGAGTCTAGAAGAACCAAGAAAAATAAACGTGTTATTTCCATTTGTAGAAATTCTGCCTTTCTGCCTGAATAGTTGCAAAACAGTGCTTGCAGTACTTCCATCACTGAAGACACGCTGTATAGGTGGGAACTGGATTAAAGGATCACTAAAGGAGACTTCTCAGCATATGTTATTCCAAGGAAGAATGATAATTAAGCTGCTAGAGAGCTAGCATTTGTTTGCAATGTGGTCATCCCAAACCCCCACTCCAGGTTCCTTCTGCTTTTCAATTCAGTAGCTATTTCATTCATTTAACATATAGCAGTACTTTTCTTCTTGCCAGGATAGGATTTAGGGGCAAGGTGTTATGATTCCCTGGTCCTTCCTGGTCAGATTGTTCCAGGAGGTGATACCAGGCTTGGAGCCTTGGCATGAGTCTATGGGACCCCACCTTGTCCTCCAGGCTATTTAATATCGAAAGAATAGGTTGACTGGAGATTTGCATGCTCAGTGTCATCAGATGCAGAGGACACCCAACTCTATCATTGTTTCACTGCAGGGAGGCTGCTGAGGTCCTAAATGGTGGCTGGACACAACAGTGGACTAGACAAAGGCAAACAACGTGAAACTGAATCCACCCAACTGTTGGTAGTTCTGACCAAGAGACAAGGACTCGGCCAGTGCTGGATGGCACAGCACTCCCCTTGAAAATGCAAGCTTGAGACTGGGCATTCTGCAGGACTCTGCTTTGGCTTGGGTGCCCAACTGTCAACTGTGGCCAATTTAGGTTGTGACTCCAGTTTTCCTGATCTTGGGATTATGAAACTGGCTGTGGGGATCAATGGTTTAGTTATATTACATCTGGATTACTGTAATGTCTGTATGCAAGGTGCCTTTGCAAAGTACCTGAAAAGAACAGTTGAGTCAGTAGCCAGGATATGATGGGGCCCCATATTGGGAAGATAGGAGTTCCTCACTGAGCCAATCACACCGGCTTCCAATCTGTTTCAGCACTCAGGATACCTGAAGGAACACCTTCTCCCCATGAATCTCCCCACCTCCTGAAATCTTTGACAGATGCCCTGCTGTGCGTCTCAACATTCCCAGGAAGGGAGCTGCCTAGTGGCTGCACCCAGAAATCCTCCCATGGAAGTGTCCACATGCCCATCTTTGATGGCCTTCTGCTGGGGGACTAAAACTTTCTTTTCAAGGCGGCTTTTAGGCAGTGAGGGCCATTTAATTAATGGCTCTCCCAGCCATTTAACTAAAGGATTATAATAATAAAACCCTAAAAACAGTAGTTAAATGTTTTAGTTAGCCACTTTGAGCTCAGCTAAGGAAAGGTACAGCATAAATGATTCAAATAAGTACATTTCAGGAGCAGCTGAAAAACTTAATATTGTGAAGGGTCACTCACCCTATTCAATGTAAAAACACATACCTTTGCTGAGTTCTTTGACTTCCACTGAAGGAAAAAGCAGAAATCTAACATTTATTGAGTATTCTGCCAAACGGGAGCCATGATGAGGAACACTATAAAACACAATCCCCCGTGTGTTGTTTATAATGGAGTCCATTTCAGGGTCCATGGAAGCATCCAGCAGCATCTTCTTGACTAGAAGACCTGAGAAAAATGTATTCATGAAGTTGGGATGATGCAAGAATGATGCTTAAACTGATGTATGAGATACATGACATCACCCATGGCTCACAGAGCGAGCCATCTAGTTTTTGTGCGCTGCTCTTTTCTCCTCCAAAATGATGTCTATCATTTTCACTTGACTGTGGACATTACCCATTACCTGTGCCTACAAGCGGGAAGGGACTGGCAAGATCTCAGTGGTGCCCTCTTCCTCATTCAGCAGCCTCTCCCTCTTTCGCAAAGCCCCGGCCTTCCAGCTGCACAAGACATGTGTAGGTTGGCAACAGATGCAGGGAGAAGACAGCTGCGTGAGGATGTGGGAGTCATGCTTGAAAAATACAGACCTCCCATTAAAAGGACAATCAAAGATGCTCCAGTCTGTGTGCAGATGTATGTCAGAAGGAGAGGTCAGGAAGAGATGCCCAATGAGCTTTGTTACTCCAACTCCTGCCGGCGCAGCTGCACCCATGTGATGACACATGCCCTCCATTATTTCATGCAAGCCCTAGTGGGCTCAGTGACAATGCCCCATGCCAGGATAAATCAAGGCGGCATTTACTGGCAACCTTTTCTAAAGAGACAGCAACTGACAGGCAGTATGCTAAGGGACTGGATGCCAAGGCTGATGCACGGGCAATCCGCTCGGGGGGCCAACGCACAGCTGCACTGCTGGCATTCAGCAGAGACCTTGAGGGCCATGCACCACAGGCTCCTGCCGGCACTGGGCACTGTGGGGTGCTCCTAGCAGTATTACCCCTGCAGCTGCAGGCCCTCTCTCCGCATGGCGGCAGCACTGACGCAGCAGCGGTCCAGGGGCTGAGCTGTTGCTTGAGAGCCAAGCAACTCCCAAAGCACAGCATCCTGCCAATGGGCAAGCTCCCTCGCGGGCAGCAGGGGGAGGCTGCCAGCCGCAGCAGTCCCATGACCCGGGAGGCCCAAGTACAGCAGCCACTCCAGGGCGCTTGGCTGGCGCTGTGCATGGCCACCACAAGCAGTCTGCCCAGAGTCCCCCACACCGTTCAACAGGGTTTGCCCGATCAAAATGTCAATTTCAAGCCTGAAATAGCTCGGGACAACCTGAGGACAGACTTTATTTATGCAAACATCAGAAATGTGGCTATGGACCCTATACTACTACAGTTTATGACCGTCATGATGGCATACTATACAGGTGCTTTGAGTAAAACCTGCTGTCGGCAACTCTGCATCGTACTGAAATGGAATCAGCCTTATTGTACCCAGAATGCACGGCTGAAATGCCTGCGATAGTTGAAGCAAAAGTTTACTCTGAAGCAAAAGGACTCAATGGACTTGCCCCCCATGCTGTGCGACAGCCACACAAGTGGTCTGTCTCCAATGCCAGCAGCTCTTAGTTTCTTGAGAAGCTCAGTACTCCTGTAGGCAAGAGATTCCCTGCAGATGAAAAGGAAAGAAGCAAAGAGGAGATGGAGATGCAGTAAGATGTTGTTTTTCAATTCAAGATCCTAACAAACAACAAACTAAAGCACAACTTGCACACCACAAGCCATTTTTCACTTCCAGATACCTTCCCCAAAATACTACTCTCCAGAATGCTGGGACAACAACTCCTGAGATTCTTGAACACTGGTTACAATGGCAAGAGCTGACTGGTGCTGAAGTTCAAAACACCCAGAGGACAGCCATGTGATCTAGGCCAAACCATCACTTCAAGAAGGGCAATGCTGAGGCCAATAGGCCTGGGCAGTGTTCCACATGATGGGCTGGCCCTACATTAATCCCAGCATCCTCTTCTGTATGTGAGGTGCTGTGGTAAATGTACAGGAGTCAATTAACAGATAAGTCAATTTGGCAAGGTTTCTTTGAAAATAGAGTGTTTGAAAGCCAGTCAACTAAATGCCAGAATAGGTAAAACGCACTCTACTTAGGCTGTTCAGATTCATAGCAGGCAGCTGCTTAGCATCTATTCTAATCAGCAAGGATACCAAAGAGACACTGGGTGCAAACCCCATGTTCAGTCTTCAAAATTGCATTGAAGTCCATGGAATTTCAGCAATGTAGGTGTGTGCAGAACTGCAGCTAGGGCTGAACCATGCTTTCAAACCCACTTTTTCAGCTGTTAAAGCTTCAAAAGACCAGCAGGGACTCGCTCCTCTTGAGGAGCTGACACAAAAGAGCATGAGAGATTGCACAACCAGACAGCTTCTCTAGACACTGTCTCAAGGGTTCACAGCATCACTGCAGATTCAGTCTTGAAAAGCTGCCATGTCCAAAAATAGCACTGCCATCTTTCTTGAACTGCTTGTGAATCTATACAGACTGAGCCTTAATGTAATAAAAGTTTCTGCAGATTTCAGTCAAACTGCACAGAAGTGCCAGACTATTGGCTTGACTGAGATTTAGTTATCTGACTAATTGCATTTTGTGGTACTGTGCCAGTTTGGAACATCTAATACAAACAGGCTGAGTGAATTTATAATGACTGAGGAACCTCTTCTCATGTCTTCTTGTAACCTGAGAATACACATCTCCTGAATTATTTATCTCTGTTCCACTACTTTTTTCCAATCAGAAGCAAAGCAGAGGTGTGCTCAGGTGAAGGCAGAACAAAATTTTATCTGACAGATGGCAATCCTAAAAATGACTGTTCTCCCAAGTGTACTGTCCTTGACAGCCCTTTTGGGCACTTGTAAACTCAAGGATGGGGCTTCCTTTATGGGATCAGTCTACCCCATATATGGTCTTCCTCCTCTTATTCTGCTTTCCTTCCCATGCCTTTACTGTCTTCTCCAGTGAGCCTTGCTTTCTCATGCTTTGTCTGAAGGATGTCACTTTCAGTTTCATCATTTTTGCTTCCAGGAAAACTCTGACTTGATTTGATCTGGGACCAACTTGCTCATCTTTCTGTCAGTCTGGGGTATTCGCCAGCTCTCCTCCAGCACCATTTTTAATGCATCTGTTTCCTCCTGTCAGCTTTTTTCACTGTCCAGATTAACAGCCATATCTAGTGATTGGGACTGCGTAGATTATCTTGACCTTGGTCTGCAGTGAGTGCCCTTATATTTGATGAACTTTTCTAGGTTCTTCCTTGTTACCCTTCTGAGTCTTTTTTCTAATTTCTAGGCTGTAGTTTCCTTTTGATGACTGACTGAGCCATGAAAAGCAAAGTCTTTCACCTTGAATACCACTTTGCTTACACAGGAAATTAGTGCAATGGTCTTATAGATGCTGCACTCTTTTGCATCTTTTCTTGGGAACTGGAATGTATATTGAACATTCCCAAGCTGTGGACCATTGCTTTGTTTCCCATATTTCTTGCCATATTCTGGTTTATGATTTGGACTGATTTAGTCTCTGAAACTTGGAATAGTTCTGTTGGTACCGTATCTACGCTGGGTGCTTCATTTCTTCCATGTGCATTCAGAGCAACTTTCATATCACTAATACTGAAGGCTCCTCCTGATAGGCTTCCTCTTCTCTTTATTTTACCCTGGTCGGATAGTATGTTCCCCTATTGGTCCTTTCAGCATTCCTAATTAAGTATTGAATTTCCCTTTGACTTCTTGGATCTTCTCATAGTGGTCTCTTGTTTTCCCTCCTTTGGTGTTCTTTTCTGTTTCTTTGCACCGGTCATTAGTACTTCTTTCAGTCTCTATGAAATAGTTGCTGATACGTTACCTTCAGGATTGTGACCCCATTTTTTTCATTTTGCTTCTTGCCTGTTCTTAGTGTTTCTTCAGTAATCCATTTAGGCTTTTCACTCTTTTTGCTAAAGGAATTGTACTTTGGTGTTCTTCCCTAATAATTTCTCTGATTTTGATCCACAGGTTTTCTGGTTGTGGGTCAATTGCATTGAGTAATGCAAGTCTGCTCTGTATATAGCTAAGTAAGGCAGGTAGGAGCTATAAGCCAAAACGTTGCCTACTCTTGATCTCAAGCAACACTACCAATGACTCAAATTCAAATGCTGCTTGTAGGCATTTTTGCATCTAAAGCAAAACCAGAAAGCGTGTCTTTGTACCAGAAAGCACAACTTTTCAAATGACTGAAAGGGATCAATATTATGTATCTGGAAATGGCACATCCTCTGACAGTAACACAAGACCTACTTTGCACGCACAGAACAAGTTCATCCACTGGCATATTCAGTTATAAATGATCTCAGAGAGTCAGACTGAGTAGGACCTCAGTTCAAAACTGCTGAGAGCTGTGGGCTGTTGGACTAAACGGCCCCATAATAACTGGCCAATGATAACTCAGATGATCTGGGTTCTAGTCCCCGCTCAGCCATGGAGCCAACTGGGTGACTTTGGGCCAGTCACAGACTTTCAGTCCAGCCTACCTCACATGGTTGTTGTTGTGGGGATAAGATGGAGGAGGAGAATGATGTAAGCTGCCTTGAGCCCTTTGTTGGAAAAAGGCAGGGTATAAATCAATCAATCAATCAATCAATCAATATGACTCAGTATAAAGCAGCTTCATAAGGCTGCCCCGACAAACTATTCTACACTCTTGTAAATCTGCAAGAGTATATGCAAGATGACTGGCCAGTTAATTTGGTCAAATCAAAATCAGAATTTTTGTTGCTTACAACTATATCTCTTCCATCTTTATAGATGCCTAAAACTATAGGAATCTTTACAAGACAGAAATGTGAATAATCTGGATAATTGTGTACTGTTCAGATGGTTTCTTGTTGCAGTCCCTCATTCTGTGTTCTCCATTAGTTACCTGTAGCTCTCCACAGGACATTTTGCTTTCCAGTCACTCAGGTGGGTGTCATATTCCACAGATAAAATTCTAAGTGAAGGGCAGTCAGATGCTAACCATGTCTAAATATAAAATACACAAAAACAAGATAGAAAACATTTGGATTCACAAAACTGTTTGGGTTTCAGGGATTAAAATCCAAACTAATAGTCTATTTTCAAGGGAGACAGTCAAACAGAAGTGGCTTGGGTCCTGGTTACCTGAAGGAGCGCTTACATCCATATATGCCCGCCCGCCCGCCTGCCCACCCCTTGAGATCAGCGGGAGAGGCCCTTCTCCGGGAACCCTCTGTGAAAGAAATTAGGAGGGTGGGTACTCGGAGGAGGGCTTTCTCTGCGGTGGCGCCCAATCTATGGAATGCACTCCCCAGAGAGGTCCGCCTGGCGCCATTGTTATTTGTTTTTCAGCGCCAGGCGAAGACCTTTTTATTTAAACGTCATTTTAATTGTTAATATTATTTGCTTATTTTATCTGGCCAGGGTGACTTATTTTATATTGTTAATTTTGTTGCATATTTGAATGTATTATATTTTAATTTTATGTTGTGAGCCGCCCCGAGACTTCGGCGAATGGGGCGGCATAGAAATGTTTTAAATAAATAATAAATAAATAAATATATGATTACAGAACACACTGTATTGAGACAGGGATGCCTTTCTGAAGAAACTTGCTTAGAGTTGTGTGTAAGCTGAATACACACTCTTTTTTCAGTAATACAGTGCCAGCATATGAGCTCCACAGGCCAAGAAATGCAATTCTAAAGAGATCATTTTCACTTGCCCCTCCAGGAGCCATCCTTGTCACACTGGAAAGTTCATTAGTTTTATTGTAATAATCCTCATTCTCATCCTCCCACTGAATCCCAGCTTTCATACCTTAATCTACAGAATAGCTACCTACACAGGATATGACATGCAACCTAAACGAGGCTAGGTTGTTAGCCTGTACAAGGTTCCCATGCCTTTAACAGCTGCAGAGCATAAATTCCAGAGGTGATGCATTTTCCAGCACAGACATATACTGAAGGGCAAAGAATGTCTACTTCAGCATATATTAAAGGTTATTCGATTCCCACAAACCCAAATTTAGCAAATTTCAACACTGGGCTTAAGAGACAATCTTGATGTTATCAAGAGAACTTTTTGGTGAAACTCAGAGGTATTGCCATGTTACACAGATGCAAAGCTGATCTCAAATCATAGTTACCTTCATTCTGCAAGACAGAATAGACGTAGCAAGACTTCGGGTTAATATCTATATATTATATATTTCAAAGAATGCAGGGTGATGTCATCCAGTTGGCAAGGGGCTGTCCACTGCCAAACACATACAATGTTCAAACTTCTTCCTTCATCCCTTCCCTCTGCAATGCAAGTTCTTTTTGCTGGCTCTGCTTAACTGTTACATCTGTGGTAATAGTAACCACAGGTAGAGCCAACCGTGATTCTTGCTTGGACCAGGAACCAAAAATCACTATTTAAAATGCAAGCCACTGTTTAAACCATGTAATTGCATCATACTCTTCCTCCAAAGTAACTCAGAGCATTGTCATGTTGTTATCCTCACAAAGTTCCACTAGGCTGAGAAATAAAGACTGTCCAAAATCACCCAGTGAGTTTCACAGATTTCCCTAGTTCAACACTCTGCATTATACCTTGGCAGGACGCCAAAAGTAAAGCAAGTGATTTCAGCCTCTCTCTGCTGTTTTATTAAAGAATCTAATAAGTACTGATTATTGCCTTCATACCTTCGGCCAACACTCACTGTAGTCATCCTCCATATCCACATCTTTCTCCGCTGCTGACTGCTCAACATCCTGTTGTCGCCATGTTTTAAACGCTGCCCCCAAGAGGCCATGAACAAAAAGTACATCGGCTTTAATGGGCATACTGGTAGTAAAAGAAGTTGCAAAAGAGAGCATTACTAGAAGACTGCAGCTGAAAAAAAAGTGGGGGTTGAATGCTGTCCCCCCATTGTTGCCACTTGCCAGAAAGATGCTTGGGCAGGTACCGAGTCAGGGATGCGTGCCTTGCCAGGGGAAGCAAAAGAGGGGGATGAGTGGGGAATCAGCTGAGCAACGCAACCCTCAGTTGGGAGCTGCCACCAAGCTGATTTGCACCCTTCCCTCCAGCACCGGTGGAGGGGGGCAGCATGGGAAACAGCTGAGCAGCATTGCCTCCAACCGGGCACTGCCACCCAGCTGACACTTGACCCGCCTGCTTGTGCATGGGAGGAGCTTCCCCCATGCATGTGAGAAGAGCAGCAGCGGGATCAGCTGAGCAGTGCAGCCCCCAGCTGGGCACCCCCCACCAGCTGATTCTTACCCCTCCTGTTGACCTGTGGGGGGGGGGCTTCCTTCAGGCACTTGGAAAAGAAGGCAGTGGGAGAACCGACTGGGTTGGATGGGGCACCTTTCCCAGCACTGACAAGCACATTGCCTGCTCCCGCCCTAAAATTCAGTGGCTGCAATGAGCTGCTTTGCCAAGCAGCTGCCTGGTTCTGGCCTTGGTGCCACACTGAGCTGTGCTTTCTGGGTTCAGGTGATACAAGAAGCCATTGTAGTACTAAGAAATCATAGAACAGATCATTATTTCTGTTTGTGGTTTTTAAAAACCAAACATACCATGCTGAAGTAGCACAACTGGGTTTGGGCAACATGGTAAACCAGTAAAAAAAAAACCTACCATGGCTACTTATGTCATGTATAACCACTTCTGTCCAGGCAGGGCTGCTGCCACCACACTCTGTTCAGTCACATTTCTGTTGTCCAGGAGCACACTTAAACTTTATAAAGCGAGCACAACAGAAAATAGTTCTAGTCAACAGAAACTAATTTTAGCCCTTTTGTGGGAGCAGAGAAGTTTGGGTACTTTAAAAAGGGGTTTCTTTTACAAGTTTTTTGATAGGGTTTTTTTGGGGGGGCGGGGGGGTTGGAAGGCAGCTGTCAAACCTCCATGCTATGAGAAAAGGGATGGCTTGCACTTTTTCATGTTCCAAAGTATCTAGAATCTTGGGAAAGGTCAGTGATTTTGCCATGAAGCGGATGATCCACTTGATACACTTTTCTGCAAACAAAGATCATTCAATGGCTTTGGTTTCTCTTGACAGCTCCTCTTTTGGCAGCTGTCAAGAGAAAGCTAAGTGAAAAAACAAAGCTCTTTGTAGCTGCACTGGGACAGTGCCCATGGTGAGTGAGTGCCTGCTCCTCTTTGACAGAAGGCAACTCCACATGTCATTGCTCAGGCAGGCCTTAGCATTTTGGACTCATGCAAGAGTACATTTGTGCTTTTGTGCCAGCCTCACTAAAGCAAACCAAAAAACAAACAAAAACAACCCCAAAAGAATCTACCTAAATGAATTTTTAAAGAATGAATTTGTGTAAGTGACAAACCAGGGACACTTGAAAGGAATTCTCATTAGATAGCAACTGAGAGGTTTTAATTAAACACAAAGGGGAACACAGGAAGCAGAAAAGAGCTCATGATCACTTGGGGGCAAACAAGTTGGGCCCTGCTGCAGTCCTTTGGCATATACTCAGGAGGACTGAGAGGGTCCTTTAGAAAGGAGCCCTTTCCTTTTCTGAAAGTAGCATCAGTAGCAGAACAAAACAATATGAACCTTGCCTCCTTACTTGGTTCGAAATTGCGGGTGCAAAAGATATACTCCATCTGGGTATTTCTCCTTCACCGTTTCCCTGTCTAAGTTGGCCAAGGCTCTTGCTGCATGTGAGGATTCCATGACACGAGTAGACTTCATCATATCGGCTAGCACAGAAACCCAACCTAGCATAAATTAAGCATGAACATCATTGGTTATTACCTGCTAAAATGACATATGACTTATTAAACATGCTTCTTATTAAACTGCACTCCTGGACAGTAAGAAAATAAACAAACAGACCCTGTGCTTTTTGCAGAAACTTCTCTGGTAGTTTCCAGCTAGCTTGCAAGTTGTTAGCTTCTTAATTTACAAGAGTCAGCAATCTGTAGGTCTGCTGATCTTTTTTTTTTTTCATGTTCAAATTTAATGATGCAGTGTGAGTGTTCTTTCAGGCCAAAGTCCAATAGGTCAAAAGTTGATGACAGCCCATGTATACATCTAGAAGAATCAACTCCTAAAGCTTTTTCTGGACTGTACCACTTCAACCTATGGGGGAAGGGGTGTTACATATTTAAGTATCCTCCTAACAAAAGAAAAATTTCCCTTCACTTATAAAGCTACCATATAAGGAAGAAGGACCTAGTCTAGTCTTCTTCTCACCATACTAGTTCTCTGTGTACGAAGCACTCAAAGCAGCAACTTTCTAGCTCAGCAGTACAGTCCAGCAAAAGCAAGCTTCTAAATATTCTCTTTAACTGATAATTAACTCCCTCATTTCCACTCTTGGGAAGGAATCTGAGAAAGGGACTCTACTGCTTCTAGGACCACTTCTTTTTTAAAAAAATAAAATTAATTTCCAATCTAAAATACAAGCAAAATAACACTATATTTAAAATACAAACATAAAAATTGATGCATAATAAAAATAAGTATTACACTATAGTGCGCCCCACTACCAGGACCAAGGATACTCGACACAATTTAAAAAACCTTCAAACATTTCAAGTTGTTACCCCTTCAAAAAATGTAATTATGCTTTTGACAGTTGCTTTTAGAACCACTTAAGTACAGGCACATTACACAGAGTGAGTGGAAGAAACTCCCACACCACCACCCTTTTCCATCAACTTAATATATAGCTCTCAAATTGAGAGAATTTTTGTCCTTATAAACTAGTAAGTTCCACTAACTATACAAATAAGCCTAGAGTGTTAAATAACGGAAAAATGTTTCACTTAGAGTCAGTAGGCTGCCAATTCGTTTTTCATATAATAAATATGACTCATCATTTCAATTATTATTACACTGCATTACATCCTGCCCCTTTTTCCTTTTGAGTTCTTTTTTATAAGGAATACAAGGCAGCTTACACAGACTTCCCCCGCTTTCTTTATCCTTACAACAACCACCCTGTGGGATAGTGACTAACTGGCCCAAAGTCAGCAGTGAGCTTCACAGCTGAGTGGGTACTAGAATCTGTATCTCCTAGGTCCCCAGTCTGATGCTCCAGATTACACTGGTTCTATTAAGATTGTGAATTAATCTCAGCAGTCCCTTTTTTTTGCCCAGGTGTTTTCTTTAGAACTATTTGGCCTTTATCTTAGACTCATTTTCTGAATGACATGCCTATACCCCTTGAATTTTAAATTATTACATGGCAAACTGATTAAAAGGCTGAAATATTCTTTTTTTTAAACACCTCATTTCTCATAATTTCCCATTTTTATCTTTAATCCCCTATAAACATTTATTATTACCTGCACTTAATATAGATAAATGAAGTTGTTCATCTAGTGCCATATTTCCAATTATGTGAATTATGCTTCTTTGTATTTTGGGGGAATCTCTGCAAAGATGGTACAATTTCCTTAACAGTTGAAGTCCTCTCTTTGATTCAATTTCATCACAGTGACTAGGAATCTAAAGTGTTTGCAGGAAACACAACAATGATCTACAAATATTCAAAATTATTTGTAACATCCATGAAATTATGTAATACACAAAGTGGCATTTTTTCATGATGAAGGTTCTCTCCAGAAACAGATGAAATTACATGTTCAGTAACATTCAAAATCTGAAATAACAATCACAACATGTGAACAATTTTTGACATCCCTTGCAGCTGAGCTTAGAAACAATGAGAGAGAATGAATTTCAGCTTCTTTCTAAGCTTCCTTTTTATCATTATGTTTCAAGCTTCTTGTCATAAGGACTAAGAAAAAATATATATGCTAAAGCCCCCATGATTCCAAAGAGCCTTCAGGCATTGCACAAAAGGTTCTGAGCAGAAACAGGTGAGCGGTTCACATGCAATGCACCAGTCATGATCAAACCAACCTTAGTCACAACTATGGCCCAGTGAAACAAACCAGTTCTGCCTATTTCTTCCATGGGTTTCAGTGGGACTCTGTCAGGGGTCCACAAAGTTCGATTTACCTCACTAGTCAATCCTAGGACCTGTGTTGACCCTAAGCCCTTCTTTCTGGACTATAAGAGAACTCTAACGAAGTAAGAAGCACTTGCCTTCATGTGGAATTTTTGCCGAAGGTAAAAATGGTACCTCCCATGCAGAAAGCACTAGTTTGCCTTACTCCTGTTTCTTGAAAGAAGCAAACAAGATTTCTATTTTCTCCTGATACTTTCCTTTCTTACAGGTGAACATCTGTGTTTTCTTTTCAAGCCTAACTAGCAGGATTCAGCATTTTTTCTTCTCCAATCTCTATAGAGGACACAGAGTTTTCTTGTCCTCTCCTGAGAGTTAAGTTTCTAGAGAACACATCACCTCATTGTGAGTTTGGGGGCGGGGAGGGGGGGCAGAGAACCTGAACTGAAGCAAAGGCACCTATCTTTTCAGTCATCCACAGACGGGAAAGGGGGCATGTCTTTTCCAGTGTTTATTTTGGTGGCAGTATTTACTTATAATGAGGCATATCTAAGAATTTTATTAAACCCTTTAGCTGGAAGTTCCATAGACCAAAGCATCAGGATTTTAAAAAGGGAACATAGCTAAGACTGCCCCTTTCTTTTGCCTCAGGTTCCCTCATGCAGTGGTTTTAAATGGGCTCTTAAAAAGTAAGCAGCTAGGTTAACTAATATTGGTCCTTGTCTATGCTCAAGTCTTAATTGGTGGTTGCTGCTATTTTACTGCTGATTTTAGAAGAAATTTAGATGGCTATTATAGTGAACTTTGTATTTTACTTTTAAGCTGTTCTATGATATTCTGAGGTGAACTGTCTTGAGAAGGCCATTTTGGCCTTCAAAGGTGGTAGGTGGTATAATGCTACCTACACAAACTGGTAAATAACAATAGCAAAGGTTTAAGATCTGAGCTTTACCTTGGAATGTTGCACTAAGGCTTGTAAACAGAAGAGTTCGACAGTTTTTGCTGGGACGGTACTGAGACTTTCGCAATAAGGAAGGCCATTTCCACCAAAACACCATAAGCCCCCCTGGAAGGAAATTGAATCAGAAAATTCAATTAATTTCAAAGTAATGAGGTAAACATTAAAACTTATACATGACAAGTTTTGTGGAAGTTGCTTTTTCAAAGTAGGCATATTCATGGAGAATGCCAACAATTTTGATTGAGCAAAAGTAAAATGGTCTCAGCTTCTAAACAGGTTGAAACTTCCTATTCCATCAGGTTCTTGATAAACTAGTTAGCAAGGTGATACCCGTTTTCAACAAAGGGACAGCTCAGCAAAACAATAGCAAGAGCACTGCTATTAAAATTACCAGCTAGGCAATTTATGCAAATTTTAAATATGAGAATGTAATTTTAATTTTCTATCTTTTAAAAAAGGAAACACAGTACTTTACCTTATGCTAGCTCTACATCTGCAGACAAAGAAAAAAAAAAGAAATCCTATTGCAAGGACCTGAGAAGATAGGTACAAGAAAGGCCCATGCCTAAAACATGGAAACAGCTGGAAATAAGCAAATAATCAACCAGCACACTGTCACTCCTACTGGCAAGAACAGTTCATAAACATTATCAACTTACTAGAAAGCAGAATGGCTCCCATGTCAATTTGGAATATGGTGCAGGCAAAAACAAATGTAAGACAAAATTATTCTATTACAGCTTTTGCTCTTCATCAGTAACTAAGAGCCTTCATAATTTTTGATATGGAGTGTTCCATTTATATCAAAGCCCTCATATTTCGGAGCACACCTTTTGAGCAGCGATGGTCTGACTGCTTTCTCTTAAAGCCAAAGATGTAAAATGCTTCACACACGGGTCAAGATCTGTCTGAGGTAAAGCTGCCAACAGCAGCCGGAATTCATCTTCTAAACAAGTAATCTATACCATAAAATCAAAAACATTTCTGTCAACATTTCTGCCAGTTGCAAACATCATAAAATTATGTGAGAACTTTGAACAATAGTCAATTAATTTCTCAAAGTTATGTTAAGCCAGAAAGGTAGGCAAGTGGTACTTTTCTGATGGGAGCTCATCCACTGCTATCCCATTCATTGGTCTTCTAAATCCCTATATAGGAGGTGTCTTATAGCAATGCTGGCTGTGAATGCTGCAAACTGCAGAACTTACTTCTGTGTTATCTGTGCAAAGGATTACACTCTCAGAGACTGACTGTTCCTGTTCCATTTTGGCCCTCTGAACATGGATAGAGAGCACCAACTAACAATAATGGAGCAAGTATTATTTGGAGCAAGTATATTTACAGATCTGGTACACAAGGTACTATTGTTTCTGCCCAATGCTAACCCCGGACTGCTCTTGGATGCTCCCTTTAAGCATATTCCCAAGAACAAAATTCCAGTGCATTTTCCTCAGTGTTATCACATCCAGCAAAATCCCTACCCTTCTGCATCCCTGTGCTAGGTTAGCACAGAGAGGCACATACCATCTATCTTGGAGGAGCCGCAGTCTGATTGTACTATACATTTCATAGAACCTAAGGTGCTATCCAGTGTGGCAGCCTGTAACTTTCCAAACCTGGAGGATTATACACATCCAATGGAAGGTGGGAGAAGTGCAGAGGCTGGGATTGTTGCCATGCTTCCCTCACCCTCCAAAGCATTTAGAGATCTGATGTTGGCCATCTAAATGCTTTCCTTTTCCTCATTTGGAAGAGAGACTGAGACACCACTAAGATTCTTTAGAGCTTGGGTCCTCAGTTAAGGCTCACGGGCTGGACCTGGCCCGCTCCACAGGTTTGGCACACACGCGGGCATGCAGCTTGCTCAAGAGGAGGTCGTTTTGGACTCGCTTGGAGAAAATGATCTCCTCGCAAGCCAGCGCCTGGCCCTGCACTTCCCCCCATCCCATCCCCGCCTCCCCTCCCATGTGCATGCTGGTGCCCCCCCCCCCCCCCCCCCCGCCCCCGGCCCCCCCCCCCCCCCCCGTTGGCACCACCTTGGCGGCCCACACCCACCGCTGGCACCTGTCAACTGGCCCCCTGCTTTAGAGGATGGCAGCGCCTTCTCCTCCTGCCCCCGCAACCTCCACCATCACCACCACACCAGTTCCAAAGATAGTCATGGATAGAATTGTGTTGGCTACAAGGGTCCATCAATGTTGAAGTTCCAGTTCTGATCTCTGTGTTTTCTGAGATGAGAACTGAGACGCCAACCTATCCTATAGCCACCCAGACAATATTGGAAGGCCATGAGATGGCACCCCTACTGAGGTTTCCTGGATAATTTGCAGCAGTCCACTTGACCTAGATCTTGAGTCTCACTGATCCTTCACCTTACTTCTTCCTCAAACTGTAAGGTGTATCAAATAGCTCTGCTGTTTCCCACCTTTTTAAATTCACCAACATCCATCTTTCTTTAGTGTCTGCATTCTACTGTTTCTTCCCAGCCACATTCTGGAAGGAGTAATGCATGGCACTCAAGGTGGTTGGTACATGTCTCTTTGCACTAGCCCCTGCAGTTATACTCTGATGCATTCCATAGCTGTTGATCTCAGGCTATCCTAAATTTCATCTTCACCTGTCATTTCCAGAACCAACTATTCATCTTTTTCATCCCAAATTACCCCTTCTTCCTGTTCCCATAGCTAGATGCCATCAGCAGTGAGGCCAGATAAAAGAGGTTACCTGCCACTTAGGAAATGTCAGTCAACATAGATGAATATGTTGCTGCTAACATCTTAGCTACTAACTTCAGCTCAGCATTAGCTCTCAAATACTTCTATAAAAAGATACTGCTGGACAAGTGGTGTCTGGATTTTATACATACATCTCCTTGTTTTGGTAAAAAGGGAGGAGGCAGGAAAAATCGTAGGTCAACATCCTGACTTCGAGCTAAACCAATAGCAGTTCTCTTATCAATGGATTGGGCAGCTGTCCTATATTGATAATCTGTATTAGAATAAACATAAAGTTAGGTTTCTAAGTAACTTGAATTATTTCCCTCTATTTATAAATCTTTATAAAGCCCAAATAAGCAATACATTCTTGCAATTTATAAAAGCAAGCAGGGACATACAGTAATTCAAAGTGGATGAAGAATCAGTAGACTTTCTTTCCTTCTGCTTGGAAGGGACTACATGCACAGAGGTGAAAAACAGATACAAGTTTATAAAAGTAATTCACTTTGTAGTGTGAGGATAGTGAGAAGAAAAAGTCCAGCTGCAACACTAACATAAAACCAAAATCTCTGCATTTACTATTTCAAAACTGAACTTATCAAATGGGCGTGTAAAGATAATCAGGCCCTCATATGGCTGCAATATAATCTGTACACCACTGGAATTGAAGATCTGTGTCAAAAACTGTACATTTTGTCAAACATTTAAGCAAATAGCAAAAAACATTATTCTTTTCATTCAAACTGGCAGCTAGACAAACTCCAGGACTGCACGGTCTCATGGCTCAAAGGTATTCTTGAGCAGCTTCGAGTGGGCTAGCATAGTGACTCCACGGTGCTCTAGATACCTAAAGCCCAGGCTTTTGTATACTCTGCTGCTCAAAACCTGGATGAAAACCAGATGAAATTTTAAGCATGTAGAAAGAGTCATGCTGTATCAGGACAAGAGGTGGCATTCTGTTTGCACAGTGGTCCATCAGTTACTCACAGGATTGCACAGGCAGGGTATGAGTGCAAGAGCACCCTGCTGCCCATGTTCCTCAGCAACTGGTGCACGTAGGTATACTCCCTCTGATATGGGAGAAACATATAGCCATCTGGACTAGTAGCCACTAATAGCCTTTTCTCCATGAATTCATCCAATCTTCCTTTAAAAGCATCCAAATTAGTGGTTGTCACAATATCTTATGGAGATTAATTCCTTAATTTAACTATGCACTATGTGAGAAAGTGCTTTAATCAATTCTGAATCTCCCACCCATCGGTTTCATGAGATGAGCCCAATATTATGGGGAAAGGGTCTCTACGTTCTCCACACCATGCATAATTCTGAGAGATCAGCTGAAAGCACGCCAGAAAAATGGAGATGCTTTTTGATAATGACAAAAGTGTAAAATTAATTTTGAAAGTCTGCTTCAAATCTGCCCTGGCTGCAACTCACAACTTTGTTATGTCCCATCTTATGGTAGATCACACCATGGCACCATCATTTTCCCCAAGATTTTAAAAGCAAGAGAAAGATAGAGGAAAATGAGCAGATACAGAGAATTGCTTAAAAAATAAACTCAGTGGAACATTAACTGGAGCCAGAGGTAAAAGGAGAAGCAGATGTGGAAGGGGTGAAAACTATTGCTTTGTGATTTTCCTCAACTATACCAGACATCTATTTAATGTGGGCTCACAGCTGCAACCATAAGCTGGGTTCAATATTAGGCACCCAGCAATGGGAAGTTCCCCTACACATGTGTGGGCTCTGCAGTGCTACAATTTCTTCAATAAGCTGCTGTTCCTGACCTGGTGCCCCCACCCCCGATGTTTTGAATGATGACATCCAGCATTCCTGAACATGGAAGATGTGATGAAGGTTGAAATCCAAAATATCTGGAGGGAAGCAGGTAGGGAAGGGCTTCAACAGGGCCTGAACAGGAGAATTTTCCAACAGATTGGCTAATGGACAGACACATAGGATTCTTTCATAGCAGTATTTGGAAGCTGATGCTCACAAGTTTAAATGCAGTAGTTATCCTAAGAGAATACATTACCATGCCAATAATGATTGGAGGCCAGTTCCTGCACAGCTTGTAATCGGACCATTTTATCTTCTGACTGGGTTCTTTTCAGAAGGAGCCACAAGGCGCATTCATGCTCTTCCATATCAAAAGTACTGAAGCGTTCTTTACCCAAAAAACAAATGTTTACAAATGATTATAGCTGCTTTACTACACTTCTTCCAGAGGAACATTTTTAAGCATGCTATATAAGAAACTGCATTATTTCATGAGCAATCTTAGAGAAGCAGAAGGTGAAAGCACAACAGAACAGAAGAAATGGCCATGCAGGCTATATGTTAAGTCTAAGCAATTAATGGCAGAGGTAAGGCTTGAAATGGAGGTTTCCCGGTTCACAGCTCAGTCTCTTTGCCATTGTATGTTGGTCTAGTTCTTCCCTTGGTATCTTACAATATGATTATTCAAGAAATGGACAATGCTAGTTAAGCTAGGGCAGAGCTCAAAACTTGAAGGTGCAATTCTCCACAGATAAGTTGAGAAGAGAGGCAGGTTTGCTGTTTCAGATATTAATATCTATTGCAAAACGTGTTGTATTACACTTCTCAACAGAATGCCCATGCACTCATATACCTACCTATGTCCAGAGGTCCTCTATTCCAAGTATCCTATGATCCAAAATTCAGAGGGTGACCATGAAAGAAGGGCTTTTTGGTGGTGGCCAGCTGGCTATGGAATGCTCAGGAAGCTTGCCTAGTTGACACCATGTGTAAGCCTTTTCTGTTTCCCCAGTCCTTTTTAATGATGTGTTATTTTAGTCCCCATGGTATTAATGGTAATTTTAGCACTTGTACTGGTTTGGGTTGAGTCCCGTGGTTTGCATTACATTTTACTTTCTTACACGGGTGTGTGTTTAAGTTTTATACTGGATATTTTTAAAGACTGAGACGAGGTTCACACATCCCTGTGGCAAGTCATGGGTTACTTAACCATTAATTCACACTGATGCATGCTGCTGCGAGATCACTTCCGGATCGTTTGAAAACTGAGAAGGTGACAAGCAGACGAGATCTGTTTGGATGTTTCAGGATGAGCACCTTAGTAGTTAACCCATGGGTTCACATGTCCCATTCACAAGCTCTAAGTAAGCTGTAGGGGCTTGTCTACAGAAAATTATCTTGAGTTAATTGCCACCATGACATGAAAACTGGTTCTTATCATTGGATTTTTATTGTACTGTGGTCATATCTGAAATTTTATATTTTAAATTCACTTGCATGACCCACAGAAAAACTGTTTATAAACTATTATTATTAATCAATATAAATAGCACAGAAATAATTCTATTGAAAAATAACACACTCATATGTTCTTAACTCTGAAACATAAGCTCTGTAGCCGGAACTAGTGACCAAGGCTTGCCATTGCACGAAGAAAGCAAAACAGAAATAAACTGAATTATAAGAAAAGCAAGCACCTAAGGGTCAACAGTAAATATCTCAATGCACTGATCTCAGTGGAAAGTTCTTTTAAGTAAAATGTTTAGAGTCAACAACTGCTAAACTAAAAATCTGTAACATCTTTACTGAAAAGTGATTTAAGCATGGTAAAACATTATCTAGCAGCTGGAAGATTCAGGGGCTACTCCAATAACTCAAGTTATTGCATTAGGCAACAAGGGCACAGTACTTTGTAGGATTAGAATCACCGTAAACTTAATCAGACTAGAGTTAGCACTTTTCTTCCTGACAGAGGCCCTATGTCATTGTCATTGTGAACAAGTGGAGGAGCCGCATATTCCCCTTCCAGGAGGGAAAGTGACCCCACTAGATAAATAACTTACAGAACAGGAAAACAGGGGAGCAAATAGGTAGACAAAACAAATCACAGAGAGTAGACACAACAGAAAGGAAGCTAGGGATTGACTACATGCACTACTTTAAACCACTCAGAGCATCTACTGTGCACAGTTAAAGCATTAACTTAGATAGATCACTGACCTAACCTAATTGTATTCTTAACTTTTAGCAGTTGCCATGAAACCTACCATCAAATGGTCTTCGGAAAATTCTAGCAGTGGCGTCCAGAATTTTCCTTGCTGCTCTGTGAAGCTCCTTTCTCACTTGATAAGTAATTCCTGTAAAAATCAATAAAGATTTCGTTAGGAACTTCATGAATTTTTATGACCCTTTCATATTAGGTAAAAGGAGGTCAATAGTATTCTTCTTCAGACTGAAGCCTTGCCTCCCATAGAAAAATCTCTGAGCACTGACTGAGACAAAGGCGGACAGCCAGGGAAGGAGCATTACTGAACTGGACACGATTTGAACATGCACATGGTAGGCATGCCATGAGAAGACCTGGTTGGAGCTGAGGGCCAGACTAGAAGGCTCAGGAGACTCCTTCTGACTCACTCTATGTTTCTATCTCAAGTGGCTAGCTCCCATGAATGCTTGAGCATTGCTGGGGCTTGGCTGCTTGTCCCAGCTTGCGGGAATGAAGGAAAAGGCAAGCAGAGAAAAAGCAGAAGACTCTTGAAAGTGTGCCCAAGGATCCATTTAAAAAAAGAACAATCCAAGAAAAAGATTGTTTCTTCAAGTGAATTTAAGAAGAGTATATGCAAAACCCTGATCCCAATGGACAAACTTTCTCCAGTACTCTCTGTAGCACAAGTGAGTAGTGCTTTTTGTGAAACACCCAGAATGCATATTTTTTCTAGTTCTCTTCTATCATCCTGTTTCTTAAGTTGCTCACTTGATTCATTCTTATTAAAGCAACAACCTGAGAATTTCTTACCTTGATATTCACATGGATCCAAAGAAACCGTTTGTAAATAAATGTAGGACTTCAATTTTTCTTGCTGTACCACTTGGGTATCAAAAGAGAGTAGCTTCCTTAAAGCCAGAACTTCATATGTAGCAAAGATACAACCACTTAAAAAGATAGACAGATATCAATGCAGGTATACAGTGTGTAATTTTAATATACACATTTAAAATTTGCCTCTCTTGAGGAAAAAAGCCACCTAAGTGTACAATTGTCTGAATAACAGTCTGCTTTAGACCTCAAGATCCTGGTCTAATAAAACATACTTTAACAGCCCAGGAACAAACCATATGCCTAACATACTTGCTCCCTTCCCCTGCTCAGCACAGCTATCTAGAGTTCTTAAAACAGAATTTGTCTGTAACATCTCAATTGGTGATTTTTATTTGAAGTGCTGCCTACAAACTAAGATTAGATTCTAACTACAAGGAAGCCAGGCCAGGGCACTGAAATCATATAGCAATGCAGCAGACAGATTCATCAGTCTGCAAGTGGTTTGGACTCCATTTCTGCTATTAATTAACTTAGTTGAATACCAGCAGTGCTTTTAAAGTACACAGGCTGGGAATTACTGATAGATGGTCTTCAATATAAAAATATGAAAGCCAAAATTTATAACTGGCATCTATGAAGGGAACACAAAAGAGAATGGACCACTTGCCAGTTTTATTCCCAGGCCTGTACATTCTTGCATGAAGCAACATCAAAGTCTTTGCACTTTGGATATATACTATTAAGATACACAGTGGCCGAGAGAGTCACAAGGCTGGAAAAACTTATGTAACAGCACATGCTACTCAGTGGTTGGTTGCAGACAGCTTGCACAATCTTGTAAAGAATATGAAAAGATATTGTTTTCTTTTAACTATTAACTATGACACCAGGAAGGCAAACACCCTGTTATAGTTAGAAATGAAGTACAAAGTTAAAAAGAAGCCCCACTCAACTGCCTTCTAACACTTGAGATTTCTAAAGTACAATTAAGATTTTCCAAGGAAAATTGTCATCTTCAGTTGTCTCACACTGAAGGTGACAATTCCAAATGATAAATTTAAATGAAATAATTAACTCTTTGTATCTAAACCCCCAATTTATTTTATATAATATGTATTTCTGATACAGTCTTCAGTGCTGTGTAAGTTGCCAAAACATACTTTTTAGACCATGGTGCAATACACTGTTTTTCTTACTGTGATAACTGAAAAATTAATCCTCTGCATTTAAAAGTTCATTAGCACTATGTCTAAGTTTTATAGATACACACACACACACACACACACACACACACACAGAGGAAAGATCATACTACTGGAATTCTACAAATTTACAATCTTAACTCTACAAACTAAATATGTGCTTCCTAATTAAAACTTACCCCAGAACAAGAGAGCCAGTTAACTTTGCGATTTTCCCTTAAAAATTAAAAACAGTGTCACTGTATATGGAAAAAGGCAGTTTTCAGTATAAACATATTAAAGTACATCATTGCATCAGATATAACAAGGGGTTGTATAGTGACTAGTTTAATTAGATCTCATTGAAATCAATGTGAAATCATGGGAATCAAGAATGAGAAATTTACAATGTAATCATATACATTGAGTTCAATGGGACTTACTCCTGGGCAAATGGATAAAGAACTACAGCCCTGTTTTGGAAACAAGCCAATGTCTTAAAACAGATACAGAACATGCACCAAGACTGTAATCATATACACTTACCTTAGAGTAAGGCTCATCAACATCATGTTGTGGTTGTTAGTTGCAAAGTTGTGTCCGACCCATCACAACCCCATGGACAACGTTCCTCCAAGCCTTCCTGTCCTCCACCATCCCCCGGAGTCCACCCAAGCACAAGGCAACTCCTTCAGTGACTCCATCTAGCCACCTCATTCTCTGCCCTCCCCTTCTTTTGCCATCTATTGTTCCCAGCATTAGGCTCTTCTCCAGGGAGTCCTTCCTTCTCATTAGGTGGCCAAAGTATTTGAGTTTCATCTTCAGGATCTGGCCTTCTAAAGAGCAGTCAGAGTTGATCTCCTCTAGGACTGACCGGTTTGATCGCCTTGCGGTCCAAGGGAGTCTCCTCCAGCATCACAATTCAAAGGCCTCAATTCTTCAGTGCACAGCCTTCCTTATGGTCCAACTTCCACAGCCATGCATTGCAACTGGGAAAATCATAGCCTTGACTATACACACTTTTGTTGCCAGGGTGATGTCTCTGCTTTTTAGTATGCTGTCTAGATTTGCCATAGCTTTCCTCCCCAGGAGCAAGCGTCTTTTAATTTCTTGGCTGCAGTCCCCATCTGTGGTGATCTTGGAGCCCAGGGAAATAAAATCTGTCACTACATCAATTTCTTCCCCATCTATTTGCCAGGAAGTGAGAGGAAAGGATGCCATGATCTTACTATTCTTAATATTGAGTTTCAAGCCAACTTTTGCACTCTCCTCTTTCACCTGCTCTTTGGTTCCTCTTCACTTTCTGCCATTAGAGTGGTATCATCTGCATTTCTGAGGTTGCTGATATTTCTCCTGGCAATCTTAATTCCAACTGGTGATTCATCTAGTCTTTCTCATGATGTGCTCTGCATATAAGTTAAATAGGCAGGGCGACAGTATACAGCCTTGCCGAACTTCTCAATTTTGAACCAATCAGTGGTTCCATACCCAGTTCTCACTGCTGCTTCTTGACAGAATTTGCCACAATTTGTTGTGATCCACACAATCAAAGGCTTTAGCATAGTCAATGAAGCAGAAGTAGATGTTTTTCTGGAACTAGCTTTCTCCATGATCCAGTGTATGTTGGCAATTTGATCTCTAGTTTCTCTGCCTCTTCGAAACCCTGCCTGTACTTCTCGGTCCACTTACTGCTGGAGCCTAGCTTGTAGGATTTTGAGCACAACTTTGCTAGCATGTGAAATGAGCACAATGGTGTGGTAGTTTGAACATTCTTTGGCATTGCTCTTCTTTGGAATTGGAATGTAAACTGAACTTTTCCAATCCTGTGGCCACTGTTGAGTTTTCCAAATTTGCTGGTATATTGAATGTAGCACTTTTACTGCATCATCTTTTAGGATTTTGAATACCTCAGCTGGAATACTGTCACCTCCACTAGCTTTGTTGTTGCTCAGACTTCCTAAGACCCATTTGACTTCACATTCCAGGATGTCTGGCTTGAGGTCAGAGACCACCCCATCGTGGTTATCAGGGATGTTAAGCTCTTTCTTGTATAGTTCTTCTGTGTAATCTTGCCACTTCTTCTTAAACTCCTCTGCCTCTGTTAGGTCCCTGCCATTTTGGTCCTTTATCATGCCCACCTTTGCATGAAATGTTCCCTTCATATCTCCAATTTTCTTGAAGAGATCTCTGGTCCTCCCTATTCTATTGTTTTCTTCTATTTCTTTGCACTGTTCATTTAAGAAGGCACTCTTATCTCTTCTAGCTATTCTCTGGAATTCTGCATTAAATTGGGTGTATCTTTCCCTTTCTCCCTTGTCTTTTGCTTCCCTTCTTTCCTCAGCTATTTGTAAAGCTTCCTCAGACAGCCATTTTGCTTTCTTCCATTTCTTTTTC